ATGCTTTTTCATCTTTTTTCTTTCTTTGTTGTATCTGACCTTTTCAAAATCTTTCTCCTTCAGTACATTCCAGAAGGAAACACCCCTCATCCATGATTTAATTCTGGTTGTGGAGTTGAATCTCCTACCCACCAGCTTCACTGGGTGGTCCATTTGGCTTAAGTATTGTGAGGAGAAAATGCCTCCCTGTCTTCACATCATGAAAATTCTGGACACCTTTCTCATGACACCCTCATTAACCCTTTTTCTAAATGAAAAGGAAAATGATGTGGTCACCTTTCCAACCTCTGGATCATTTTCCTTGCCCTTTTCCGTTTTGTGGACACTGACCAGAATTACGCCCCATATTCCAAGTGTGATTGCCCCATAGAATCACATGACGGAAGTACAATTGTAAACATTTAATTTGCAATGCCTTTACTATGTCTAAAATGGAATTTGATGCAAAATGTATAAACTACAGTAGACATCTGGGGCAAATATTTGTCGCATAGCTATGACTTTTGTTTCAACTGTTTCATTGTTAAAGCAGTTTTTGTTTCATAAAATGCTTTAGATCTTCCAAGGGCTGAACAGGAGTACAAACATGCAGGCAGGCAGGAAGGAAGGATAGAACGGACAGAATCTTAGAAACTAGACCTGACAAACAAAGCAAACCTGTGTATCTAATTTGGAGATGTGCCATAGAGGATTCCCTCCACTGTTTTTCTGGCTTCCCAGAGAAGAGTCCTGGGAAAGTCATCAAAGATACCATTTCAGCATCCACTTGGTACTTAACTTGTAGTTAAAGAGACAAAAGAGAGAAGCCAGTTAAGTAAGTTGATTCACAACTGTTAGGAATCTGACTAAGCCATTTCAAAATTCCACTTTCAATGTGGAGCACTAGAGACAGGATTTTGGCCATTGTGTGACTTTTTAATCATCACACTCAGATTTGAGGTATATAAGCAGCATCCAACTGGCCCAGTAAGACATCGTTGACTCAAAGATTGCAGACAATTGTCTGGATGTTTACACCAAGGAAAGGCCTGCACCCCCCACCAGCATGTTCTCTCCCACAGGCAATTTTGGGGAATCCCTCTTCTCTTTCCCTGTTGCTGAAGAGAAAGCCCATCACCTCCACTTGCTTCACATGCAAAGTTACACAGAAAGAAGGTCAGTGAGGCCAGACTTCCTTTACAGAAGCCAGGCTGAATCTCCTTCTGCAAGACCTGTCCTTCAACAAGCATAATAACCCTATCTTTAACAGTCATTTGGACGTCTTCCATACACTCTCGTGTCCATCCAAAGCTTTTGTGAAAGCAAGAATGGACTTCAGGACCATTATAAACATGGGCGGAATTTGGAGGACCATTACAAACTCTCATATTTTGGTATTTTTTCCCCCCACCCCGGTACTTTAGCAGTATTTTCATGGATCTGAAGAAAACTGAGATCTTCTGATTTTGCCATAATGAACTTGCTAGCATTTCCAATATGTCCACTGCTGCAGTCAAGGTGAGGAGGGCAGAGAGATGGGCAGCCACAAAAATATCATTCAGGATAGACTGGAATGCCACTGTGTTGTGTTCTTCTGAACACAACAGATCTATTGATCTGTTCTCAGCACCGTCATTCATGTGATGTTTTTTTACTTACGCTGGTGCACCAGAGGCTAGCCAAACCCAAAAAATTCATATACAGACAAGTGCCTCCAAGCAATGAGGAAATTTATTAAACTGACAAAAACTTAAATTTGGGAAGCAGAGTCTCCAGCCAAAGTTCCAGAAACACGCTAATTATTCACAGAAACCCATGCTGTCTTTAATATCAAGGAAAGATGCTAGGTGAGGAGGCTGTACTTTTTAGAAGGACCACTTGAAGACAAGATCAAAATGAAAAAGGTAAAGTCATAAGTAGAGCCCTGAAGCTGCATCAGACCAAGGACCCAAAACACTAGGCTTTCAGTAGGCAAATCAGACCTTGGATCCTCGAACCAGAAGTATACGGAGTTTCAGCAACTCGTGAAAACTGATAATCTGAGTCAAAAAACTTGGGCATAAACTTCATTAGAAAATTTCATTATGGAGCTTAACTTTCCTAAAGATGTACTTGCAAGTTTCCAAAAGTTAAGAAAGGACAGCTTGACTGAAATAATTCTATCCAAAGCTACATACAGCAAGGAGATTATGATTAGATAAAATCAGAGTATATTTAGAGGAAAATGTTGGGAACAAATTGCAGTAGACGGATAGGGATCTATCAGAACAAGCTTACTAGGTTGAAGATATCATTAATAATGTAAAGGTAGAGAAAACTCCTGGGATGGATGGAATATAAACATTTTATTAGGCTTTCAAAAAGATGTTGGTACTAAAATTACAAACTCTTTTTTCATAATATATTGTAAGGATGAAAGATGCCAGAATCCTGGAGACATTCCTCAATAGTATTGATTGCAAAACCTAATAAAGATTTGATAGACCTGACTAGAAGAGTATTTGATGTAATAGAAGGCAAATGTAACGAAAGTTTTAAAATGGTGTAATAGCATTGAATATTTTTAAAGCCTTTGATTGTGTGGAATGTCCTGCAATAAAGACGTTGATGGAGATATTAGAATTTGGCACACAATTTAATACATCAATTATATTCAGAAAAGTTTGCAACTTTGTTAGTAATGGTCTGTCTAATAATTATGGAAAGAATTGGATGATCGACAAAATATAATGAATAAATTTTGTAACAGGGATAAGAAACTGAGGATTAGGAAGAAAAGACAGTATAAACCACAAAAAAATGACAGGATTGGGTATTCTGAACATCAAATTATACTATTTAACACATCAAAAGACATTATACTACATCCCTGAGGCAAAACGAGCAGAATTAGAACACCAACAAATTGAGGGATCACTTTTAAACCATTTTTTAAATAGGATAATAAAAAATTGTTTAAAAAAAGACAATCCTTTCCTTAGGAATATAATCCACATTTGGGACATGTATAGAGCGAGATTTATGCTGACCGTCTCCACCATTAATTCCAGTCACAGAAACTGAAGGATTTCCAGAAAACTTAAGAGGTTTTGAGAAACTTGAGAGGTCTGAGAAAATATTGAAGTATTGAATCTGCTAGGTTAAGACTGGTTGAATATACAAGTAAAGGAAGAATTGCCAAAATCTACAGGATATTAATGGAGTTAGGGGATCAGAAAAAAAGTTTAAAATCAATTTGGGAAATGGATGTAGGTGAAACAAAAGACAAGAATTGGAACAATATTTGGAATAGAGGAGTATATAAGACTATGTCAATTAGAATTAAACAGCATGGATACAAGGTGATATGGAGATGGTGTTTAACACCAGTTAAGTTAAATCAAATTGATGATAAATACTCTAATATATGTTGGAGTTGTGGTAAAGAGATCAGAACTTATAAACGTATGTGGTGGGATTGTGAAAATATACAAAAGATTTGGATTATGGTATTTAAGGAAATGGGAGAATTTTAGATTGATTTAGAAATGTCACTGAAAATGGTGTTATTACTGTTGATAGAAAAACAAGATATAAATGAAGCTAAGAAAGAATTGATTGTAAGTATATAATGGCAATTAGGCTAGTGATAGTTAAATATTGGAAACAGAATTGGGTTTTGCAAAGGCATGAATGGTATAATGAAATATGGAATATGGTAATTAATGATAAACTGACAACAGAAACAAACATTTTAAAAGGGTTAATGAAAGCAAATAAATATAATGAAATTTGGGAAGATTTTGTAAAAGCAATATTGATAGAAGGCAAAGGCTGTAAACCCAATCAAGATTATATGAATTTCTGGACCTTTTAATTCAACCATAGTTTTAATAATTAAGGGTTTTAGACGTTTTAAGATTTTGGTTTTTTTTCTGGTTTCACCGTCTCATTTCCTATTGTATTTTCCCTTATTTTTTAGTTTATAATGTTCAATTTTAGATGTTTTTAATAATTGCGGTTTTACTATTGTATTATTGTAATTTTATACTATGTAAGTCGTCCTGAGCACTTGTGTGGAAGGATGGGATGCAAATGTTTGGAATAAATAGAGAGCCAGTGTAGTGTAGTGGTTAAGAGCATGGGACTGGGACTCAGGCGATCCGGGTTCAATTCCCACTCAGCCATGGAGCCAACTGGGTGACTTGGGGCCAGGCACAGACTCTCAGCCCAACCTACCTCACAGGGTTGTTGTTGTGGGGATAAGATGGAGGAGGAGAATGATGTAAGCTGCCTTGAATCCTTTGTAGGAAAAAGGCAGGATACAAATCAATCAATAAAACTATATTCTATGAATAATAAGTAATACATGCTGGAGATGTGGGTGGGTACCTATTTTCATTTATGGTGGGAATGTGAAAATATTAGGAAGTTTTGGAAAATGGTTTCTAAGGAAATTAGCGAAATAATGAATTTAGATATTGACTCAGACCCTGGTATTGTATTATTGTCATTATTACATGAAAAGAAATGGAAAAAGAATATTAAAGAATAACAGGTTTATTAAAAGCTGTAAGATTAATAATAGCAAAGACTGCAATGAAAAGGGGAAGGTGAAAAAAGGGATGACAAGCATAATTTAATGACATTTGAGGATCATTCACTGAACATGTATTAATAAAAGGGAAAGGTTTCAAACACTTGGATGAATTGATGCAATTTTGGATGGAGGATCATACTGAAAGAGGAGAAACATAGAAGTAGTGAAGGAGAAGAAAGGTATATATGACTATTAATAAATAATTACTGTGTAACTGAAGGTCCCAGTGTGGCAGTGCAGTTTTTGTGTTTAGTGTCAAATAAACAAAATTTTAAATTTTTCAACCTATGTATATGTACAACTTATTTGTGTTTTAAGTACCTTTCCTCCTTCTAATGTTTGGTTGTTATGGATGTAATTTTGCACTGTATTGTATTGTTAGTACTTAATGAAATATTAAAAGACAATTTTAGAAAATGAAATGCTTTCCACATTCCAAATATGCATCTGGTGTTTCCTCTTTAATTGCCTTACTGGATGTAAGAGAAAGGGACATTAAGTCTTCAATTTCAAAAGTGTTCTTTCCATACTCCACACTTTCAAATGGGTTGTCCCTGCTACAGAATTTTTTAAAATATATATAAATGTTTAACTTCAACTAAAGCTCTTTCCACACTCAAAACATTCTACATGCTTACAGTTTCTCCCCTGTGTGGGTTCTTTGATGTGAAGTAAAATTATTCCTCCAGCTGAAGCACCTTCCACACTCCAGACATTTAAATGGTTTTTCTCCTGTGTGGATTCTGCTATGTGAAGTAAGATTATTCATTCGGCTGAAGCTCCTCCCACAATCCAGACACTTAAATGGTTTCTCTCCCGTATGGGTTCTTTGATGTGAATTAAGACTACTGCTCACACGGAAACATTTTCCACAGTCTGGACATTCATATGGTTTCTCGCCTGTATGTATTCTTTGATGTAAAGCAAGAGATGCATTCTGAGTGAAACTCTTTCCACACTCCAGGCATGTTATTTGTTCTTCCTCTCTGTGAGTTCTCTGATGTGAGTTGAAGTATCCACGCCACCTGAAGTGTTTTCCACACTCCAGACATTCATACGGTTCCTCCCCTGTGTGTATTCTTTGATGTAAGGTAAGACTTGAGCTGAGTCTGAAGCTTTTTCCACATTCCAAGCACGTATACGGTCTCTCGCCTGTGTGAATTCTTTGGTGCAAATTAAGTGTATCTCTCCGACTGAAACTCTTTCCACATTCTAGACATGCAAATGGTTTTTCTCCTGTGTGTATTCTTTGGTGTAAAATAAGTTTATCCTTCTGACTGAAGCTCTTTCCACACTCCAGGCATTTAAATGGTTTCTCTCCAGTGTGGATTCTTTGATGTAAACTAAGGCTTGAAGACTGACTAAAGCTTTTCCCACAATCCAGACATTCAAGCTTCTTCTCCTCTTTGTGGGTTCTTTGATGTGAAATAAAGTATCCACTCCACCTGAAGTGCTTTCCACACTCTAAACACTCATATGGTTCCTCTCCTGTGTGTATGCTTTGATGGAAAGTGAGGCTTGAGCTGCGTCTGAAGCTCTTTCCACACTCCAGGCATTTATATGGTTTCTCCCCTGTATGAATTCTTTGGTGCAAAGTAAGTGTACTCTTCCTGCTAAAGTTCTTTCCACATTCCAGGCATTTAAATGGTTTCTCTCCAGTGTGTATTCTTCGATGCAAAATAAGTTTATCCTTCTGACTGAAGCTCTTTCCACATGCCACACATTCAAATGGTCTCACCCCTGTGTGGATTCTTTGATGTAAACTAAGGCTTGAGCTCTGACTGAAGCTTTTCCCACACTCTGTACATTTATGTGATTTCTCCCCTGTGTGGGTTTTCCAATGATTAGTTAGGGTCGATTTATAAGCAAATATTTTCCCACATACAACACATTCATTCTTTGTCTCTTTGTGAATTTTTGGATGGACGGGAATTTCATGGAAGTCACCATCCAGAAAAGCAGTGGCTTCATTCCTCTCCACCTTTCCTTGGTTGCTTCCCTGTTTCTTCATTCCCTCTGGATGTCTAGCTTTCTTCTCCACATCTGGACCCTTTCTGTTTTCCTTCATCACTTCATGTGCTTCTCTTTCATATGCCATCTCCCAAACATCCCTTGCTGAAAGAAAGAGAGAAACTGCACATGAAAAACAGGTATTTAAAGCAAACTGCTGTACAGTCAGCTGGGACCAGACACTCCTTGAAAAGGTTGTTGGGAAAGCTGATTCTGCTGCAGAGAAGTCTTATGATCCCCTCCTTGCAGACCTCTGGAAGAGTGAAAGAGAATTCTTTCCGAACATACACTGTTCATTTTTACTCAGCCAGGCTGCTGCAACATCCATGCTCTGAAATTCAGGGCTACTTCCTTGTTTGATGGCAAAAATAATCCCTCACCCAGAGAATAAGTTTGCCCTTCACTCCCCAAGAGCAACAGCATCCATGGAAGTCTGTAACCTTACACAACATTAACTGGACATACCAGGTTGTCCTTCATGCAAGGCGATTATACATTTTCTGCTCCATCCAAATGTAGGGAAGCATTTCTGCTCGGAAGAGGCAAAAAGTGGCTGGGAAAACAATTTGTTGACTTCAAAGACGAAGTTTATAACAGTGCACAATACCACTGTCAAATATTGTGGGCAGGCACTAGGAGGAATCGGGCTAGGGAAGTACATGGTCTTGCGCAGTCCCAGGTCCTTCCAGGGTGCTCAGCGTTGTGCTCAATCAAAAGAGGGAAGGAGGAAAATTGCATTCATGGGACTGGCTGTCCAGAATTGCTTTTGAGTCAGGTTCTGGGTCTGTCTGAGGCTGGATCTCCAGAATATCTCCAGAATATCCAGAGAAAGACATCCGTGACTCAGCAGGGCTTGGACACAAAGAGAAACTGGAGATCTTGGAAAATGGCTCCCCATCTGAGTACATGATATTATCAACCCTACTTTGGTCCAAAGTTCTAATTCCACTGTGGAAAATCTCAGGGAGGGGGGGCATTTCCTGTGCTGGGTGGGGAAAAGCCAAAAGGGACAACGCAAATGATTTTGCATTTAGAGCTCTTATTCTGAGTAATCATATTTATGCAGAAATGTTAGAACAGTGGTGGCGAACCTATGGCATGTGTGCCACTGCAGGCATACAGATCCCTCTCTATCAGAGCGCGAGCCAAGTCACCCCAGCATCACCCCGGAAGCCGAGCATCGGATAACAGTGCACATAGGGGCCATGCACATGCTCGGAAAGGAGTAGCAGTGTGAGCCCATGACATCATGAGCCGCGACTCATTAGCTACAACTCATCCGAGCTTTCACATGGCCGGTCAGTGTGCTGCCAAGGATATATATACATTTGCTTGGACGGGCTGCGAGTTGCTTTTTTCTAAACTAAAACCTCAGTATTCAGGTTTTATTGCAGTGTTGGCACTTTGTGATAAATAAGTGGGTTTTGGGCTGCAGTTTGGGCACTCGGTCTCTAAAAGGTTCGCCACCACTGCATTAGAAGCTTTTAGAAAGGGGCAAAAAATGGCCCCTATGTGCACTGTTATCCGATGCACATCCTCATGGAGCAAATGTGTACAGCTAGTAAACCACAAGCCCAGTATAATACCACTTATCACCAGAAGAAGTCAGTAATCCCCAAAGCCCATGGAGAAAAGTTAACTGGTAAAAGCCAAGAAATAAACCAGTAACCCTGGGAATTTATTAGTAAAGCCAGTTAACCACCAGTTTCAAGAAACCCAGGAAGAAAATCTAGGAAATAAGTGGATGCCAGCAAAGCACAAAGCACGAACCCCAGGAAGGCCTGATTTGGCAGTGAGTTCCACAGCCTTGGTTTTGCTAGATGAGTTGAGTAGCATTTGAGTAGCATTTTTCATTGAACAGAGGAAGTCAAGATCTCTTCTTGCTGATGCCAGAGTGTAGGACACAGAAGAATGAGTTCAAGTTGTGACAACCCAGGTTCAGGCTGGACATCAGGAAAAGCTTCCTCACTGTCAGAGCAATACGACAGTGGAATCAGCTGCTTGGAGAGGTGATGGGTTATCCCACACTGGAGACATTCGAAAAGAAACCGGACACCCATCAGAGTGGGGTGGTGTAACTTGGGGTCCTGCAACAGCAGGGGGTTGGACCCAATGGCCTTCATGACCCCTTCCAACTCCACTATTCTATGACTCTATGAGTTCTGAACCCAGCCAAGATAACAAGCCATGTTTTGTTCAGCACTAACAACCCATAAGGGTTACACCACTGGCAAGATATATATGGGTTCTGGGACTGCAGAAACATTCTCAGGTTCCAGATAAGAGAGAAGTGCCTGAGAACAGCCCAGGATCAAAAAAGAAATGGGCACACAGCACTGGGAGAAGGTTCTCCAATTAACAAGCACCTCCAAAAGCTAGCCAGGTGAGGAGAGAGAAGAGCAGAAAGCTTTGCGGGGCCAAATGGCTCAAGAGATCCAGAGCTGTTCTCTGGTAATAAATGCCCTGCAGGAAGGAATGACAAGGAAGGGCGCTTTTACCCAGAGAGACCACGATCCCGTAATTCTGCTCCATGACTTCCCTGTGTAGAGCTCTCTGGTCCAGATCCAGCAGCACCCACTCCTCCTCCGAGAAACACACAGCCACCTCCTCGAAGGTCACCAGACCCTGCAATATGAAGTAATCGTTTTCTCCTGCAGGAAACTATCTCCATGCATTACCCAAATATAAAAATGGATAAAAATCCATGTGGGGCAATAGAGAAATGCTGTTAAAATTACCACGCTTTTTAAAAATATTTCGCTGTCTACCTCACAGGAAAACCATAAATTCCCATTTGTCCCTGAAACTGGCTTGGATAACATCTAGCTTTCCTGGGCTCCTTCATCCCGGCATCCTAGGCCTCAAACACACTACAAAAAGTGTTTTTATAATGTTTCCAGCTCATGCATTCCCCATTTGTTGTTTAATGCAGAGTCTGGCATGGAATTCTGTGAAACTCAAAAGACAAGTCCACACCTTAAATTCCAGCATGTCTTCAAGCAGGAACTCCATTCATCAGAGCAGGAGAAATTGCCATGTGAACCAGGTGCCTATCGAAAATACAGACTGCTTCAGCAGCCCCGCGGGGATGTGGGGAACCGTATCCTATCAAATTCCCTGGGGGGAAAAGCCTCTCTTACCTGAGCTAGGTGCAGAGCATCTCCTTCCACTGCACCACAAAGAGGAGAAGACCTGAGACACGTTGCCGACATCTTCCTGGTGTCTGTGAAAATGGCCAAGAAAAAAAAAAGGTCCATCACATTTCCCTGGAACATGCATTTTTCTCTGCCTTGCTCACCTGTCCTGAAGGGCAGGAGGCACTCCAACGGAGCCAAGCTCAGGGAACCAAGGTTCAATTTGGATGCCAGAAAGCACTTCCTGACAGTCAGAACCCCGAGGGTATGGAATGGGCTTCCACAGGAGGTCGTTGAGGCCCCATCGGTGAGGGTGTTCGAAGATTTATTTTATTTTTATTCATTTATTTATTTATTTGTATCCTGCCTTTTTCCTACAAAGGGCTCAAGGCAGCTTACATCATTCTCCTCTTCCATCTTATCCCCAGAACAACCCTGTGTGGTGTAGTGGTTAAGAGCATGGGACTGGGACTCAGGCGATCCGGGTTCGAGTCCCCGCTCGGCCATGGAGCCAACTGGGTGACTTTGGGCCAGTCACAGACTCTCAGCCCAACCTACCTCACAGGGTTGTTGTTGTGGGGATAAGATGGAGGAGGAGAGATGATGTAAGCTGCCTTGAGCACTTTGTAGGAAAAAGGCAGGATATAAGTCGCAATATAAATAAAAATAAAAACCCTGTGAGGTAGGTTGGGCTGAGAGTCTGTGACTGGCCCAAAGTCACCCAGTTGGCTCCATGGCTGAGTGGGGAACCCAGATAGATAGGCTGGATATGCACATGGTGGGCTTGTCGTGAGCGGAGCCGGCTGGAGCTGGGGTCAGACTAGAAGGCCTGGGAGACCGCTTCTGACTCGCTCTGTTTCTATGTTTCTAACCCTTGTTCATATCATTTCAGAATCTGCTGAATCCCACCATGCACAGCTGATGCTCTGACACACACGTCCTCCCTCTGTTTCTTATGTCCCCCACCCCAAAATTCCAGGGGGAAAAGAACGCTGCTCAGCGGACCTGGGAGAGTAAGATCTGGTGGAAATGTGTGTCTGTTAGTCCCTACCTGGAGAAAAGGTACTTCCATCCATCTGCTGCATGGTCCATCTGAAGAGGAGCTTTTGTGTGGGATCCAGCAGGGCCTCCACTGCCCCAGGGATGAAGCTGCCCGCATCCATCCACCTCTCCACCTGAATGAAACGGCAGTGAGAATCCCATGCAGGGAAGGGGAAGAGACATGAGGAAAAGGGCTGGACAAAATAGGATGATGGGTGGGGAGTTCAAGGCACATTTGACCCACCCCTGGGATGGCCAGAATGAAGTCCCCTCTCACCTGCCGCTCACCCAGCTGTTTGTTCTCTGCCTGGCTCAAGAGGAGACCTTCTGCCCAGGTCACCACCTGGGAGATGGACCCCACCCCACACCCCCTGGCCCAGCTCTCCATCTCCGGGGACAGGACAGCCTGGAACCACTCCGGGATCCAATTCTTGGTGTATCTTTCTGCCATCGGCCACCTGCAACCAAAGAGCCACACGGCTCTTATGCTCAACGGCTTGCTGGCAGCAAAACTCCCCAAATGTTATTTTAGAAGCCCCCTTCCTCCTCCCAATTTCTGTAGGACAGGTGACAAAGCCAAGGAGTGGCGAGGAGACCAGAAGCAGACAATTCCAGCCTTCACAAAGACTCTTTCCTGTTGGAGAAGCAGATGGAGATTGGGTCCCGGCAGAATCCAGGGCAGTATTTCCCAATGTGTGTTCTTGAACTGCATGTCCAGAGAGACCTTCACCCATTTGCTGCCCCCCTGCCACAACCTCCTTTTCTGTCTGCATCCCAAAATACTCCCACAAACTAACCTGGGTTCAAGCACCCCAATTCCAAGGGATGAGCAAATAAACCAGATTAAGCCTTGCAGCATCCTCAGTGTGAACATACTTCTGAGGGCTCCAGCTTTCGTGTCCCAGAGGCCACCCCATCGGATGCCACGAGGCTCTCAGCTTTCCTGCCACCCCTCTGGAAATCGGGGGGTCCCAGACCCTGCTCCCACCTGCCAACCCACATCCCTCGCTGGGCAGGCACAGCTCCGGACGATTCCAAGCCCCTCTTGCTGCCTTGCGTTGCAGTTTGGCTTCCCCGAGGTGGGTGGCCACGGGGGAGGGGGTGGCGAGGCTACCAAGGGGGCAGCTGCATTGCTATCCCACCACAAATCTAACCAGCACGTGTCTTTACTGGATTTAATTGCACTGCAATTTTTGCCAGTTTCTCAGCCTGAAGGCAGAATTCCAACGCGCCACATTTTTCCCGGACTTTCACCTGAGCGGCTACCGATGCATTCACTTATTATTATTACACCGAATTTGTATCCTGCCTTTTTCTCCTCTGGGGGAACCCCAAATTGCGCTGTGGTAGATTTCTTTTCGGATTGCCACCTGAGCAGGAGAGCTGCCGGTGCATTCAAGTTGGCTGCATTACATTACCCGCCCCCCGCCCCAAATTTTCAGACGGAAGAGCCGCCAAGGCACAGCGCAGCTTTGCATTTCCTCCCGGATTTTCAGCAATGGGGGGCGGGGGAGCACAGCCAAAGCATTCAAACGCATTGCCTTGCATTATATTTCCCCCGGGATTTTCAGACGGGAGAGCCGCCAATGCACAGCGTCGCTGTGCACTTCCTCCCCGATTTTCAGCCGCGGGGGCACTGCCAAATCATTCAAATGCATTGCATTTCCTTGCATTGCCTTTCCTCCCGGAATTTCAGCCGGGAGCGCGCTAGCAAAGGCCTCGCGTTGCATTCTCTCAATGTCTCTGCAGTGGCGGGCGGGGGCGGGGGCGGGCTGCCAATGTACGCCTTGCATTGGCAGTGCATTTTCTCCCGCGGAGGTCGTGCTTCACCGAAGGAGGACTTTGCACTCACCAGATCCTCGTAGTAGCGGGAGGGGGGGGCGGCGGCGGCGGCGGCGGCGGCGGCAGGGGGCAGGACAGGAAATGACGTCCCTGCTTAGGAGCCTCTGTAGGCGAGAGGCGCTTTCTTGCCCCCTTTTCCAAAGGGGCGGGGCCAACGAGGGGGCGGGGCCGCGAGCCGTCCCGGCGAAGCAAAGGGGGTGCTGGGCGCTGCACGCAGAGACGGGGTTCCTGCAGGCGGGGGCGGGGATGGAGCGGTGCTCCCTCCGCTCCCCCCAGCCAGAATCTGCCCCATTGAGAGCAAGGGAAGCCCCTGCTTTGGAAACGGGGCGTGCGCTTCAGTGTCCTGTTTCCCCACGATACATTTTAAGGTGTTTAAGCAGCCAGTGCCATGCGTTGCCCAGTTCCACATCTGTACCCCCTACACCCCCCTCCCCAGCCTAATATTTATTTGCATGCCACCCACTAGCCGAAGCTCTCCAGGCCGTCATGAAAACAACTGATTGCGCCTTTGAAGGACAACACTTTTCCTCTGGCAGGAGCTTTTGGGGTTTGCATCTCACCTGCTGGGAAAGCTGGACTTAAGGAAGGCTGAGTGCCGAAGAATTGAGGCCTTTGAATTGTGGTGCTGGAGGAGACTCCTGCGAGTCCCTTGGACTGCAAGGCGATCAAACCGGTCAGTCCTAGAGGAGATCAACCCTGCCTGCTCTCTAGAAGGCCAGATCCTGAAGATGGAGCTCAGTGGAGATCAAACCAGTCGATCTTAGATCAAACCGGTCAGTCCTAGAGGAGATCAACCCTGACTGCTCTTTCGGCGATCGGCACCCTGGCCTGGAATGAGTGCAGCAGGAATTGCAACCTTTCAGTGCTGATCAAGGAAGGGCGCTCTTACCCAGAGAGGCCACGATCCTGTAATTTTGCTCCATGACTTCCCCATGCAGACCCCTCTGGTCCAGATCCAGCAACACCCACTTCTCCTCCGAGAAACACACAGCCACCTCCTTGAACATCACTGGACCATGGGAAAAAAAGGAAGGTTTTTCCCCCAGCAGAGAGCTGTGCAGTGGTATAGAAATGAAAATAGCCATATTAATGATAGTTGTGTTCATGTTTTAGCCAAATATAAAATACCTTTAAAAAGGAGGTGCAATAGAAAGCATGCTGTTGGGAACACCATGTTTGTTTTTCTCATTATTTCTGCTCATGGTCCTACAAGAGGCTCTTAGGTTCCCATGTATGTCCTGCCATGGCTCCTTCATCCCAGCAGCTGAGGACACAGACAGATGAAAAATGGCACTTTTGCAAAGTTTTCCTTTCATGCTCCCCTAAATCTGTTTTTAATGTGGAGTCAGTCCTGTGAATTTCAAAGGATAAAAAAAACCTCCTAAAAAACAGAAGAGCAGCAATGTATCTTCATCCAGAAACTTCATTTGTCAGGGCCAGAAATGCCCTGCGAGGGAAACCAGGCCCAAGGGCTCATGTCATTCAAACCCTGATCCAGCTGACTGGCAGGAACCAGAGAAGGTGCGTCCCAGCACATCCCCGCGAAGGAGAACCCACCCCAAGCTGAGCTCTGTGCAGCCTTCATCCCACTTCACCAGCAGATCTGGAACACGTCACCGACATCTTCCCACTGCCTGTAGGAAGGAAATAAATATGGCCGGCAGGTACAGTAAAACCTTGGATTGCGAGCATAATTCATTCCAGAAACATGCTTGTAATCCAAAGCACTTGTATATCCAAGCGAATTTCCCCATAAGGTTCAATGTAAATAAGGTTACTCCATTCTGTAACTTTTTTTTAAATCACAAAAATTTGATGCAGGAGCTTTGGGATCTTTTCGGATCTTCATGCTTGGATCCTCCCTCCAAAAAGACTGCATTGGGCTCTTACTATATTAGAGCAGATTCGTGGAGAATTGATGTCAGATCTCTCAACAGACCAAAAGACTGCAGTGATAACAGGAGGAAACACCCTGGAACCTAATTCAGTGGAGAAAGAAGAGGAAGGGGAAACCGAGAAACTGGGAGCAGCTCTTTCTGGTATGGGCGCCTTTTGAGAAACATAACATAGAAACAGAGCGAGTCAGAAGGGGCCTCCCGGGCCATCTAGTCTGACCCCCGGCTCCAAAAACCGTGACCTAGCAAATGTAAAGGTTCCAGTTGGATCAATGTTCGGCAAACCCCAATTTCAGGCACTGGGAAAAGGCTGGGTTGCGCATTGTGGTTTGGTTAAAGTGATTAGTAAAATATAGACAATGCAAGATAACAAGCGGAACTGAGCCTCACTCTAGGTGCAAATTTTCATCTTTCATTCTCAAGAAAGCTTTTGCTGGAGCCGCAGCTGCTGCTTCATCTTTCTGTTTGCAACAAAAATGCCTTGTAGATCACATTACTCGAAGCTGGAGTTTATCAAGGCATGAAGGTTATCAAGGCATCGGGAGAGGGATTACTACCACTCTATATGACTCTGGTGCCCCCGCAACTGGAGTATTGTGCTCAGCTTAGGGCCCCTCGTTACAGAAAGGACATAGCCAGGTTAGAGTCAGTGCAGTGCAGGGCCACAAGGATGGTGGCCGGTTTGCAGGGGAAGCCACATGAGGCGAGACTGAGGGAATTGGGTCTTTTCAGCTTGAAGAAGAGGCGACTCAGAGGGGATCTGTTGGCGACATACAGGTATGTGAAGGGGAGTCACACGGAGATGGGTAAAGACCTGTTCTCCCCTGCAGAGAAAGGCAGGACAGGCTCCAACGGAGCAAAGCTCAGGGAACCAAGGTTCAATTTGGATGCCAGGAAGCACTTCCTGACAGTTGGGATCCCAAGGGTATGGAATGGGCTTCCCCGGGAGATGGTTGAGGCCTCATCGGTGAGCGTGTTCAAAGATAGCCTGCACATGCACATGGTGGGCATGTCGTGAGCAGAGCCGGTTGGAGCCGGGGGTCAGACTAGATGGCCCGGAAGGCCCCTTCTGACTCAGTCTGTTTCTATGTTTCTATGAATGATAGTAGCTGAGTCTCTCTGGCAAGTGATATTACATATCACTGGGTGCGGGGGGTGTGGGCATGATTGCAGGTGCATGCGTGGGGGGGGGGGAGAGAATGCTGTATTCACCCCCAGCAAGAGAGAAAAGAACCAGCACTCAGTTGTGATGTGATGCTTCGCAGGCAAATTGCACGTAATACTCGAACTGCAGGACATCACTCTTTTATCAAGTTAAAATTTAGAGAAACTTCTTGCTCGTCTTGCAAAACACTCACAGACCAAGTTACTCACAATCCAAGGTTTTACTGTATTTTTCTATGCTGGTTCCTGCTTGGAAACCACATCATCCTACTTGCATGAAGCCACAATTCAAGGTGCTGGACCTGGCCGTGAAGTCCTCAGGGGGGTTGGCGGAAATTTCTCGACACGGGAATGGCTAGAGTTGCTGTAAGAGGGCCCACAATGTTGTTACGTCACCCTGTTCCAAAATAGGTAAAGCAGCATGGGGAAAACTGAGCTCCTCCCTTGAGGGAAAGGAAAAGATGGGGTCCCACCAAAAATGCCCAGGACATGCTTTAGAGCAGGGAAGAAAAGCCAGTGGGGCTTTCTTTACCCAATGTCCATGTGAATCTGGCTGGATCGTCTTCGAGAGAGTGGAGGCCCAAGGCCACAGTTTCCCACACAGATCTCAAGGGGAGCAGAACAGTGACGGGTGCACTCAAGGGACAGAGGTCCCGTTGAAACGCACGCCCTTGGCAGGAGGCTAGTTCTCACCTGCAGTGGTAACATCTCCATCTCTCTCCGGCACACCCCAGCTGAATGGTGGCTTTGCAAAGCATCTAGCGGGGCTTTCTCTGTTCTGCAGAGAAAACTGTGCACGTCCATCCATCTGTGCATGTCCAAAAGCAGTGAAGCTCTGAGGCTCGAAAGGAGGAGCTAGGAAAGGAAAAGCAAAGCAGAGGTGGTGGAGTTGACGAAAGGTGGACCTCTCATGGAGATTTCGGGAGATTTTTGGCCCACCCCTGGAATGGCCAGGATGAAGCCCCCTCTCACTTGCTCTTCTCCCGGCTGTTTGTCCTCTGCCAAGCTGGGGAAGAAAACTTCTGGCTGGGCCACCACACGGGAGCTGGTCTCACTCCACAAGCCTGGCCCAGCACTTATTGGGAAAATTTGGATAAATCCTGTCAGAAAAACATTACTTCTGTGTGCTGTTGCATTGTGGGATCAACTCCTGTCTTCCTTCTCAAAACCAAGCTGTCACTGTTTAAAATGGCATTCATCCCCTGCTCCTTTCTCTCACCTTTAGCTGTAAGCTACAGTAGACAGGCCATTCAGTCCAAATATACATTGTAAATAGTCATTGTTGGAATTCGAGGAAGTATCTTTTGATAGTCCAGAGGCTCCATGTGCCCTGGCCAATTCAGAATGTCTAGAGTAGATAAGAGTCTTGAGTTCATGCATAGTTTCAGTGGCTTGAATTTACATGTCTAAGCAGACCTGGAGAGGGGTTCAAGCTACTGAACCATAGTGTCAATACAGGCAACTAGAAATATTGTAATCTCATTGTCACAGTGTGATTAACTGACATTTCTTTATCTGTTCTGTATGTGATGACCTCAGAATCTTATTGTAATCTCTGCATTCTGTCATCAATTGCCCTGTACCTGTATGTGACTGGGAGTGTGTGTGGTGTAGTGGTTAAGAGCATGGGACTGGGACTCAGAGGATCCGGGTTCTAGTCCCCGCTCAGCCATGCAGCCCACTGGGTGACTTTGGGCCAGTCACAGACTCTCAGCCCAACCTTCCTCACAGGGTTGTTGTTGTGGGGATGAAATGGAGGAGGAGATGTAAGCTGCCTTGAGCCCTTTTGCAGGAAAAAGGCAGGATATAAATCACTCACTCACTCAGTCACTCAAAAACTCTCTGGTTGGGTTGAAGTTTTGCAGCAGAGATCACTGTGCCTGCCCAGTAATGCATTATCGTGGGTATGGACCCACGGGGAACCTGGGTAAAACAATAAAGCCTCAGATGGTCTGGATGCTTGGTCTTTCCCCCGAACCTGAGTTTTATTCCCTCTTCTCAAATTGAGATTCCGGGATTCTGTCACACTCCATCTCTGGGGCAGGATAGCCAGGAACCGTTCCGCGGTTGGACTCTTGATGGCTCTTCCTGGCAGCTACTGATGGCAGAGGTAGGAGGAAATGAGCAGCTCAAAATGCCACGTATCATTTAAAAATTCTCCTGCCCCCCCGCCCCCCCAGTTTCCTGGCAGGGCAACAAAGCCAAGGAACTCAATGCAAGGTGGCCGAAAGGGGGTGAACAAAACGTAAAGCCAAGGACCCGAATGCAAGCTCTGGCGGCCAAGAGGGGGTGCTTCCAAGCATTACGGGGCTTTTCCCTGCAGGAAAGGCAGGCGAGCATGGAGAACATGGGCAGCATTTCCAACCAGGATCTTCCAGCTCAGACTGACCCCTTCACCTAGCCGCCCCCTCCCCGTGCCTTGCACTGGCTCAGACACTCGTTCACCGCCCCCTCCCCAAGCTGCACCCCAGCATCACCCACAAACCCGCCTGGGCCATCCACCCCAATTGCAGTGGAAGGGTTGACTTTCACGCAAAGCGGATTTGGCCCTGCGGCATCTCCGGGCTGCCACTGCCATGGCCATCATCTGAGAACTAGGAAATGGCTTGTCGTCTAGAAAGGGGGTGCGGGCCTGTGCCCAGGAAAACAATTCTTACCATCCCACCTCACTGCTTTGCCAGAAGCACATCAAAAGATGCCTCGGTGTCTGGTGGTGAAGAGCAGATGACCCCACTCCATTAGTGGGTAACGATCCAAGTGTAATCTCTGTGTTTTATAGGCTTGCTAAAGTGCCTCCCTAAACCTGTAAGCTCACACATGTAACCTTTTTGTTTACTTAACTTGGCCAGCCTGTTCAAGGTAACTTGAAGAGTTGGAGAGCCAGTGTGGTGTAGCGGTTAAGAGCATGGGACTGGGACTCAGATGATCTGGGTTTTAGTCCCCACTCAGCCATGGAGCCAACTGGGTGACTTTGGGCCAGTCACAGACTCTCAGCCAAACCTACCTCACAGAATTGTTGTTGTGGGGATAAGATAGAGGAGGAGAATGATGTAAGCTGCCTTGAGCCCTCTGTAGGAAAAAGGCAGGATATAAATCGAGAAATAAATAAATAAAAATAAATAAAAGACTTTAGTTTAGAAGGCCTGTCTAAGGCATCTAATTAAAGTGAAATGTAACTTTTCTTTATGCTGCTGTGACGTGTATCCAATCACTTTCCTATCCATATCGAAGTATCCAATCACCTTCCTGTGTATTGTATTCACTCCGCTTTTGTGTATTCTATATAATCCTAAAGAAATTAACATGGGGTGTTCCTACTTAGGCACCCAGGGATTCATGCATTCAATTGTAAATAAACCTATTTGCCCTGAGAAGAAACGGATTTCCGAGCCTCTGAATTGCGGATCGGTGTGACAGCCCCCCACCCCCGAGGGCGTCCCGCTGGGCAGGGAGACCTCAGCAAGGGGGCACCCTCTGCCTGGGGGAGCACGTGAGGAGCCCTAGTGCGGGATCGGGCCGAGGGGCCGTCGAGGCCAGCAACTGATGACCAACTGGTTGCCCCGGGGAGCCGCTCTACGTAGGACATGAGAGCAACGCCTCCCTCCCTCCGATTCCTGGTCTGCGGACCTCGCCGGCAGTACTGAAACCCGCTTCCCAGCATTGCAAGGCGCTTTCAGCCCCCTAAGAGTGGGCACACCGACAGGGCGTTTGCAAGGCGGAGCGGGGAGTGGCTGCATAGCCAGCGCTGCAACGGACAACTGTGCAAATATATGGCATTTTCCGCCAGGAAGGGGCTGCCAGTGCAAGCCATTCTATTTCCTCCCGGATGTTCAGCCGGAGCGGGGCACTGCCGATGCAACGAATTGCGTTTTCTCCCCTATTTCAGCCGGGGGAGGTGAACTGCGAACGCCTGACATTGCATGGCATGGCATGGCATCCACGCTTCGCGTTGCATCGCCTCGCACTGCATGGCATCCACGCTTCGCGTTGCGTTGCATTGCGTCGCACTGCATGGCATCCATGCTTCGCGTTGCGTTGCATTGCGTCGCACTGCATGGCATCCATGCTTCGCGTTGCGTCGCGTTGCATGGCATTCACGCTTCGCGTTGCATTGCATTATCTCCCGGCGTCCCAGCCCGAGAAGCTGCCAATGCTTTGCACGGCTTGCAAATCCGTGAAAATCTCCCGGATGTTCAGCCCGAGGATTCAGTGCAACGCTATGCATTTTCTCCGGTACCGGGAGGGGGTTGCGCTGCACTTCCAGAAAAGGCCGCCTCTGCGCGACGAATGGGCGAGCGCCGCCGCGGCGCCTCTCTAGGCCGCCGGACTCGGTCCTTCCCTCCTTCCCACCCGGGGGAATCCCAGCGAAGAGGCGGCGGCGCTGCCGTCCCTCCCCTCGGAGGCAGGAAGTGGGGCTCGTGACGTTGCAGGGAGGCCAAGCGGGTCCCCTGCTACGAGTGGGGCGCTTTGCTGCTCTCCCGCCCCCCCCCCCCGTTGTTTCCTGCTGCAAGCGAAAGAAGCCCCAATTTGGGAGGCGCTCCAAGCCCCGCCTCCATTCCAGGGGGAAAGGAAGAGGGGGCAGATCGCGCTTTCCTGCGCCTCCCCCCCCCCCGGTTTTCCTTCTTTGGGGGAGGATTTGGTGAGTTGCAATGGCGGGGGGTTGTTAGAAGGGTTGATGGAGCCCCCCCCGGGGTGTTGTTGGGGGAGGAAGAGGCTGCAGGCAGGCCAATGGGGGAGTTTCGGGGAGGGTGTCGGGGGGTGCTTGCTGCCCCCTCGCCCCTCTTTGCACTTCTCCGCAGCACGTCCGGCGGGCCGGCGACTCGGGGCCCCTCAAAGGGCGGAGGTTCTTCAGATGCACCCCGATCTCTTGGACTCCATGTCCCAGCAGTCCCGACCGGCCATGCTGGGACTTGTAGGCGGACACGGGCAGGAGGCGCCCGCTGGGGGAGGCTGCACCGAGCGGCTGCCCGCCTGCGCTCGGGGTGGGGGGGGGGGAGTGTGGGGCCGGTGGGCACCTGCTTGGCTTGCGCTGGGCCCTGCAGGTGGGGCGTGGAGAGATCCGACTTCTGGGGCGGGGAACGGGGGTCTTCCCGTGCAAAGGGATGCTCGGGGTACCCCGTCTCTTCCTCCCCTCTGAGGAGTGTGAGGAAGTAACAGCGCATGAGGCGAGGCATGGGAAGGGTCTCGGAGTTGGGGCATGTGGGTCTGCCCTGCCCCTAATAGTGGGACCCGGAGGGGCCATCCCAAAGAGCTGATTGGGAGATTCAGGACGGAGCATAGGAAAGACTTCTTCCCACAGCTCAAAGTTAAACTTATCTGGAGAGCTTTAGGAGGGGTTGGATCATATTCCTTGAGGAGCAACTAGTCCTCATGGCTATAAGCTCCCTCCAGTGTCAGAGGCGCTTGCTGGGGAACATGGAATGGAGAGTGCTGCTTGGATGGAGCCTTGCCTGAGCTTTGGATAATTGGGGAGGCTCCCCAAAGGGAAGCTCACAAGGCGACAACACAGGAGAGGAGCTTCCCAGCTCACCATCTTTCCTGCTCCAGGTTGAGACCTTCCCCTGGTATCAGGAATTGGGCAGCATGTGAAGAAGCTTTAATTAGGCCTCAGGATTTTTTTGTTGAAAATTAATTGCTAAGTATTCATAGTGTGTGTTTAGTCCATTTAGATATAAATGTATTTGTAGAGATTCAGACCTATTTATTTATTATTTTATTTATTATTTATCACAAGCATTTGTATCCCATCCTTCCGCACAAGCGCTCAGGACAGCTTACATAGTATAAAATTCCGAAAATACAATGATAAAACCACACTTATTAAGACTTCTAAAATTGAACATTATAAGCTAAGAATAAGAAAGGAAAAATAAAATGTGTGACTGTGAAAACAAAGAAAAAAACTTAAAATGTCTAAAACCCTTAATTGTTAAAACGATTGTTAAATAAAAAGGTCATTACCTATATAAATGGCCTGGACGGTCTTGGCTATTAGCCTTGCTTTGCATGCTGGGGAATCGCAGGTGGGGCTGGTAAGTTCCTTCCAGAAACCCTGTGGAGCTTCTGCCAGTCAGTGCTGGCAGCACTGGGCTAGACGGACCATGCGCCCGGCTTGGTGCCTGGTTTCTGTCAGGGTAGGTGCCTTGCGAGCAGAATAGCGGACTTGGTCTGATCCTTTGGTTTGATCTGGTTGCATTCTGTTGTTGTTGTTGTTGTTGTTATTATTATAACATTTCTATGCCGCCCCTTGCCGAAGCCTCGGGGCGGCTTACAACACAATAAAATACATTGAAATACAATAGAACATAATAAATTACCATTAAATACAAAAATACAAAAAATACACTGAGTTACAAACATAATAATATAAAATTAAAATTATCAGTATAAAATAAGTAAATAAATAATATAGGAGGAGAAAAGAGGAGGAAGAAGAAGTTGCCCTGGCCAGATCATATGTTTTAACAATTAAAATGATGTTTAAATAAAAAGGTCTTTACCTGGCGCTGAAAAACCAGTAACGACGGTGCCAGGCGGACCTCTTTGGGGAGTGAATTCCATAGGTTGGGCGCCACCGCAGAGAAAGCCCTCCTCCGAGTACTTACTCTCCTAATTTCTTTCCTGGAGGGTTCCCGGAGAAGGGACTCTCCCGCAGATCTCAAAGGGCGGTCGGGCATATACGGACGTAAGCGCTCGTTCAGGTAGCCAGATCCCCGCTCCCTGTGGGGCTGGGTTTCAGGGAGAAGGGGGAAGAGGAGCCATGGAGAGTGGCTTGGGTGGTTTGGGTGGCCAGGAAGTCCCTGCCATGGCAGCTGAGTTTGGCTGTGTTATGTCTGCTCCCTAGATTTTTTTTTCCCTTTTGGGTGCATTTTGAGCCAGCTGGTAGTTGCAAGCAGTGTTCGAGGGAGGCCGTGCATCGCACACATCATAGTCACGCGATGTAGCTTGGGCAGCTTTTAGGAGGCCAGGAACCTCTTGGAGGAGCCAGGTGGAAGGTAAGAAAATAGTTAGTGATACGTGCCGGAGCACATCTTCCCACGTAAAGCTTCCCTTACACTGTGCTCGCTGTCTATCATTCTCCTCCAGGTGCCCCTGCAAGGTGACAGAAAGGGAAACTGCCTTCTCTGTGGTGGCTCCCTGATCTCCCCAGTAAGGCCTAGTTTGCACCCACGGGATCCTATTTTTGACACCAGGCGGCCTTCTTCCTTTATTCTCAGACCTTTGCTGGCCTCTGGGAAGGTTTTCAGTCAGGTCTAGGGATGATTTCTAAATACAGTGGTACCTCGGCTCATGAAGTTAGTATGTTCCAGGACTCTGGTCCTGACTCAAATTGGTGGTGAGCCAAGTTAAATTACCCCATAAGGTTCAATGTAAATAAGATTAATCTATTCTGTAACTATCTTTTTAATCAAAATGTGAAGCAAAGTGACAAAGAACAACAAAGATTGCGGCCATCTCCCCCCACCCTCCCCAAGCAGGAACGCGACCATCTCCCTGCCCCCCCCCCCAGCACAGCCGAGATCGTGCCCATCATTCCTGCACATGCCCATCATCTCGGCATTCTGGGAGTGGGGACAGATGGGCGCAATCATGCTGGTGGTGGGGGGAAGATGGCCGAGATCCCAGTTGCGCTCCTGCAGGAAAGCCGGGCGCAATCACGGGCACACTCAGGCAGGAAAGATGGGGGCGATCTCGACCATCTTCCCCCCCTCCGCCCCCAGCACAATCGCAGCCATCTCCCCACTCCAATGCGGAGTTTGCGACCCGAGTAAAAGTTTTTATGAATTTAGTGTTTGCAACCCGATTTGGTCATGAACTGAGGTGTTCATGAGCCGAGGTACCACTGTAACAGGAAAGTGTGAACTGCCGGCTTTTATTGCTCCACAGTGGATGGGTTGGCTGAATCATATTATGGCACCCTTTGGACCACGAGGTGGACTATGGAGTCCTTCAGAACTCCTCACTGGGCAAGCATTTTCAAAAAGCCAAGAAGCGGCGGTGGAGGGAATTGTGCTTTAAATGAGGACGTGGTGTCATACTTTGACTGGTGGCATCTCTGATCAGTGATATTCCTCTCTTTTGCTCAGGGGATCAACTCGGCAAGGATCCACTTTGATAGCTGGCCTCGTACGCTGAAGCAGGGCCCCCTTTGGGCAATCCTGGCCCCATGAACAGAAGCAGCTTTCGAGCTACTTGGTGGTCCTTTGTCCCCTCTTGGAGCTGCCTTTGAGCCCTGGGAGAAAGATGGAAGTGCGAAGCCCAGTAGGAGAGACAACGGCAGGAGGTCCTTCGGCCGTCCTGGTGAGGAGCAGTGAGGAAATTGGGGAAAGAACTGGGCCAAAGATCCTGGGAGCGGAGGAAGTCCACTTGGATGCCCAGCGCCGGCACTTCAGAGAGTTCCAATACCAGGAGGCTGATGGGCCCCGAGAAGTTTGCAGCTGGCTCCACGGCCTTTGCCATCGGTGGCTGAAGCCAGAAAAGCACACGAAGACACAGATGCTGGACCTGGTGATCCTGGAGCAGTTCCTGGCTGTCCTACCCCCAGAGATGGAGAGCTGGGTCAGGGGATGCGGGCCAGAGACCAGTTCCCAGGCAGTGGCCCTGGCCGAAGGGTTCCTCTTGAGCCAGGCAGAAGATGAGAAGCAGGGAGATCTACAGGTGAGTGTTTCACCCAATGGATACACAAGGTAGAGATGGTTTGGAAGGGCCTTACAGTTTGGCAGTCCATTCAGGGCCCCTTCCAAGGCCAAGATTTCATGGATTACATTCAGGGAACAAGATAAAGCCCCAAATGGTTTATAGCCCGGTTACCTGAAGGAGCATCTCCTTCCGTATGGGCCCACCTGCCCCTTAAGTTCTGGGGCACATGCCCTTCTCCGGATGCTCTCCCTGAAGTAGATTAGGAGGGTGACTACCTGGAGAAGGGCTTTCTCTGTGGTGGCACCTCAAATGTGGAATTCGCTCCCCAGAGAGGTTCACCTGGCACCGTCACTTTAATCTTTTCGGTGCCAGGCCAAAACCTTTTGCTTTTCCCAATGTTTTAAGAACTGACTGATTTAATTAGGGTTTTGTTATTAGCTAAATTTTAGGATGCTGTGTTTTAAATTTTAATTTTTTTCTTTTTCTTACATTTTATATTGTTAAACTGTCCTGAGACTTCGGTAATGGGACATTCTACAGAAGTTTTAAATAAATGAGAAGCATGTGAGGACTCCTTGCTGAAATATGGCTTGTTGCAGAAATGTTGCTCATTGTCTCGTCTGAACCCAGCTGTGCTGGCAAGCCATGGCTTGTTGACTACGAGCCAGCTATGAGGAGAATCCATGATTTGTTGCTGGCTTGTGAACCTGGCTTGTGCACCGTGGGTTCAGACAACACAGCAGTCCACATTTCAGCAATGACCCACAGCAGCCCCTTGTTACCCTGGACCATGGGTTACCGTGCTTTCTGGACTCAGCTTGCCTCTTTCGACTGAGTGTTTCATTGGGCAGTTGCTGCCCTGGAGGCTACAGGGATTTCTTGGCCCTCCAGATAAAACACTCCAACCCCACAGAGGAACACGGGGAACTGAGCAGGGAATCCATCCTGATCCCCTTTTCCCTTCTACTGCTGTCTTACTTATTATTCATTTATTTATAACAAGTATTTATATCCTGTCCTTCTGCCAAGCGCTCAGGACGGCTTGCACAATATAACATTATGATGTAAAACCTCAGTTATTTAAACAATATAAAGCCACACATCATGAGCTTAAAATAAAAAAGAGGGAAAGAATGGAAAATGCAAGTGTAGAGAGAGGAAAAAATTAAATTTTAAAATCTTAAGATATCTAAAACCCTTGATTATTAAAGTGATGGCTTAATAAAAAGGTCTTTACCTGGCGCTGTAAGGAGTATAATGTTGGCACCAGGCGAACCTCTCTGGGGAGTGAATTCCACATTCGGGGTGCCACTGCAGAGAAGGCCCTTCTCCGGGTTGTCACCCTTCTTTCCTTCAGGGAGAGCACCCAGAGAAGGGCATCTGCCCCAGATCTTAAGGGGCGGGTGGGCATATATGGAAGGAGTTGTTCCTTCAGGTGTTCTGAACCTAAGCCGATTAGGGCTTTATAGGTTAATACCAGCACCTTGAATTGGGCCCGGACTTCAATTGGGGGCCAGCACAGCTGATAGAGGACTGGCGTTTTATAAGAATAACAACCATTCCCCATCGGCAACCTGACAGTTCTATGTTGTACCAATTGAAGTATCTGGACCATTTTCAAGGGCAATCCCTAGAAGGGCAGCCTTCATTAGATCATAGGGAAAAGGTGGGCTATAAATCTAATAAATCAATAATGAGGGTCCTGGCTGTTCTTTCAGGTGCGTGACTTGCTGAAAGGGACTTCCAATTTCCATGAATCAAGGAAAGATTGGTCCAGTACTGTTCAGAAGCAGTTCTTCTGTGGGATCGTACACAAAGATCCAGTTTTGGATGCATCACTCAGTAAGGGAAGATACTTTCTTTGGAGAAATGTGCATTTTGTATGAGAATTTCAGGCATGGTGTGGGGCAGGAGACCTTCCAGTGCTTAATTTTTTGCTGGGATATTTTCCAAGCACAAATGGACACCAATTGCAAACCCAGCAGTAGGCCATCTTGGCAGCATCAGAGTTGTGCATCATGCGTGTTTTTTCCAGTTGCTAGCATTTTCCAGATGCCCACATTTTCCAGTACTTCTGGAGGCTCCCTCCACACTTAATTTAAACAACTCAAGTGGAGTACATGGTGTGATCTTTAATTTTTACAGTTATATTCCAATAGAAATGTTCACTTGTGCTCCTTCAAAAACTACCGTGTTTCCCCGAAAATAAGACCGAGTCTTATATTAATTTTTGCTCCAAAATATGCACTAGGGCTTATTTTCAAGTGATGTCTTATTTTTTCATGTACAACAATCTACATTTATTCATTCATGTACAAAAATCTACATATATGCATTTACAAAATGCATTTACAAAATGTATACATGCATTTATTCAAATACAGTCATGCCATATTCTTCGGGAACATCCTCATAACTCTCCAAACCTTGAATTGTGTTGCAACGGACGTACTAAATGCATCTGTCTGCTGATGATCTTAACTGGGACTTATTTTTGGGGTAGGGCTTATATTACAAGCATCCTGAAAAATCATGCCACAATTAATTTTCTGGTTAGGTCTTATTTTCAGGGAAACAGGGTAGGATTTCCCCTCATTCCCTCAGCCATTGGAAAGGGTGTGAAGATGTACACCTTTGACTGAGGCATTTGAAGTACCTTGCTTTCATGTTTTCCTGTTTGTGGGGGAACATTCCTATGATTCGGAGGGGTCAGGGGCCATTTAACATTTCCAGACCCCTATTTGGAGATGGCACAGAGACCTTGAAGACAAGAATCAGAGCCCCCTTTCCCCCATCCACAGCAGCATGGAAAGATGCATTCCAACCATTTTATGAGGTTGGAAAAGTGACCTTGGAGAGCAGGAAAAAGGGTTTCTCAGTGGGAGAAGAGTGGGGAAGACCAGAGAGGCTGAGCAGCCTGCCAAGCTTCCTTTTCTCCTCCCTTGAAACATTTTTTGCTGCTTGGAAAAAGAGCACATTTAGTGAAAATATAGATCAGAACACGAACCATGATTTCATGATACATAGGAACATAGAAACAGAGTGAGTCAGAAGGGGTTTTCTAGGCCATCTAGTCTGACCCCTGGCTCCAGCTGGCTCTGCTCATGACATGCCTACCATGCTCATGTCCAGCCTATCGATGATACATTGTATTAAACTGTTCTGTCTCACCTGGATTGCTTTTATAATAAGCAATGATGAATCAGTGATATAACATGTTATGGGTGGAATCAACTACAAATTTAGACAGAAATCCTACAAATTATAGCCTGGCTAACTGCTGATTATTGGGGACTGAAGACTATTTTCTGACTAAACCATGCAGAGGAATGTTTTCTAATGTGATCATTTTTTCCCCTCAAAATTTCAGTACTTGCATACTTGGATGACAACAAAACTTAACTAGGAATGGTTTTGTTTTAGTCTTGCTGTTTAGTAGAGTCTAAGTAGTAAAATGGCCAGACCAAATTAGAGTGGTCTCTACATTCTTCCAGAAAACTTTCAAAATCAGCATTTCCGGGAAATACTGTATCACTGCTTCCAGGTCATTCTCCCTCCTTCTGTTTATGCCAGAAATTCCCAGACAGTGTTTCTAGCAAGACCTGGCCCAATATTGAAAGAGAGGCATTTGTGCGGAGTTTTCTCAGCGCTGCTTAACACGGCTTTTGAAAGGTCTGTTCCCACCACCTTCCTCTCCCCACAGGCAACCGAGAGCGGTCCCTGGAGCTCTTTAGACCCTCTCCCCTCATGGGGAGAGGCAAAGTGCCTGCTTTATTGCCAGCTCAGGTAAGGACTATACCATAAGAACCAAATGCAGGGGTCTCTCAGGGTATCTTTGCCTTTTTATTGGGGCCAAAAGCAAACTGTTTCTGACTTCGGCTTGGGCTGTCATGATCAGGGTGCCAAGCCCCTGCCCAGCTATGGGACTCCCTGGCGAGGAGAGTGTATAGAAACGTCTGCAGTCCAGGTCACGTCTGTTGTCCGTCTGTCTCTTTGGGGTCTTTGCTGAACAGAGGCAATGAGTTGCCCGCCCTTTCTTCAGTGATCCTTGCAGGAAAATGCCCATTTTTTCTGTGCCTGATCTCTCTTATTTATTTTATTTATTCATTTATTTAAAAACTTTTGTAATGTGTACCTTATGCATGGCATTTCAGGATGGCTTACAATCCTTAAAATCAAAAATACAATAAAACCACCACATCTATAACTAAGTAACATAATAACAATAAAAAATTAAGTGAAAAAAATCAAAGCAACTGTTAAAATACTAATTTTTAAAATGACAAATAAAAAGGCTTTGACCTGGCATGAAAAGATTATAATCTCACCGCCAGGCGCACCTTTCTGGGAAACGCATTCCACAATCTGGGTGCTACCACAGGGAAGGCTCTGCTCTGGGTAGATTTCCTTTTTACCTCCTTCAGGTCAGGTTCCCGGAGCAGAACCTCTCCCACCGGTCTTAAGGGGCATGAGAACCTATAAGGAAAGAGGTGTTCCTTCAGGTATCCCAGTCCCAAGCCATTCAGGGCGTTATGGGCCAAAACTAGCACCTTGAATTGGGCCCGGACTTCAACTGGGAGCCAGTGGAGCTGGTAGAGGACCAGCGTTATGTGAGAATAGCTACCGGTTCCCATTAGCAGCCTGGCAGCTCGGTTCTGTACCAGCTGAAGTACAGAAGATCTTCTGGGATATGTGAGCAAAGGGGGACAAGGCTGACACTCTCCTATGTTGGGCTCTTTCCATTTTCTTTTAGGGTCCGGTCTCCTTTGAGGACATAGCTGTGTGTTTCACAGAAGAGGAGTGGGCTCTGCTGGATCAGGGCCAGAGGGCTCTGCACGGGGAAGTCCTGCTGGAGAACTACTGGAACGTGGTCTCCCTGGGTAAGGATCTGGCCGTGCTCCTAAGCAACCTGGAAGCTGATGCTCAGCTTCGACACTTCCCTCATTGGTGCCTGGATTCTCAGGGTTCTGGAGTCTCCTCACAAGGAGGAAGGCCCTGTGTAGCAGATGGAGGTGCCGAGTATGACAGAGGAGTTTTTTTTCATAGTGATAATAATTTTGCTGAATGGCCATGAGATGGCAGCAAAAAATCCTCCAGAAAAAGAAAGAAAAAAAAAGTTTTTTGGCACACAGTATATCTGTTAAAAATAGAGTAACCACAGGGTGGCAGTGAAGAGTTGTTTGTGGGTATCATGAAGACAAAGGAAAGAAAAAAAATCTCCGAAGAAGGCAAAACCGAAAGAAACTTTTCTATCAATTTACAATAGATTCTGATTTAATTCTTTGCCCTTAGGGAGATTAAAGGATCTCCTCTTTTCCAAGTCTCAAATTTCCCCAGTCTCACTTAATCTCCCCAGCTTTGTCACTGCTTAAACTCCGCAGGTGGGGGAGCTTCCTCCCTCCATCAAGAGGGCTTTTCTTTTTTTATTCAAATTGATACTTGCTTCAGAAGTTCTTTCATGGGAAGTATTGACGTCCTGGCCTTATTTTTCAATTATTCAATTTCTGCCCAGCCTTTCTACCAAAGAATGGCACTCAGGGTGGCTCATGGACACAATTCAGATGGATGAAGAAACAGCAACAGCTTTAGAGACTTGGGACTTGAAACAAGGGACAGGGTCTTTTTGGGGGTGTCCCCCTTCCATGTTTTGAAATGGTCTTTTCCCCTGAGCCCTGGGTGACAGCAACCCTGCCATCTTTTTCTTGGCATCAGGTTAAGTCTTCTTTCTTTTTCTAGACATGTAATGTCATGTTGAAGCATTTAGGTCAGCTTTTTCACTTTGTACTTCAATTGTTTTAGCTATTAAAGTGTTTTAAAATGTTGTATTTTCTAAAAGATACTAGATTTTTATTTTATTTGTGGTTTGTGCTTCATGCATTTTTGAACGCCTTGGCTATTCAGAGGATGTTTTTGTTCTTGTGAAGTCGTGTCCGACCCATCGCGACCCCATGGACAACATTCCTCCAGGCCTTCCTGTCCTCCACCATCCCCTGGAGTCCACTTAAGCTCACACTGATTGCTTCAGTGACTCCATCCAGCCACCTCATCCTCTGCCATCCCCTTCTTCTTTTGCCATCAATTGTTCCCAGCATTAGGCTCTGCTCCAGGGAGTCCTTCTTTCTCATTAGGTGGCCAAAGTATTTGAGTTTCATCTTCAGGCTCTGACCTTCTAAACAGCAGTCAGGGTTGATCTCCTCTAGTACTGACCAGTTTGATCACCTTGCAGTCCAAGGGACTCACAGGAGTCTCCTCCAGCACCACAATTCAAAAGCCTCAATTCTTGGGCACTCAGCCTTCCTTAAGGTCCAGCTTTCACAGCCATGCATTGTAAGTGGTTATTCAGAGGTACAGAAATGAAACTATAAGTTTAACAACAATGGAGGCAAAGCTATCCACCATTAAGAACTCAAGTCCATGCAGCAAGAGTGCAGAATCTCAGGCCAAGGGGACAAATTAGCTTTCTGGAATATCCTCAAAAGCTTCCTCACCTTCCCCTTAATCACACTCCTTTCCTCAGAGCTACCACTCTTTGGATGGGTTCCCCACTCCATTTTAAAATGCTTCTAAAACTCATTTGCCTCTGCCCTTGTTCCACTGGAGTGTGACCTCTCCACCCAACCAGGAGCATCTGTGAAACAGAATCCAGCCTGTGATCCAAGAGTCGATCTGCACCCCTGTTGCGCAACAGCCTAGGCATAGCTGCCCTGTTAGGTTTAGTGTCGCTCTGGGCCCTTGGAAGAGTTGTGAAAACAAACCTTCACGGGCTAAGCTTCTTGTCCCCAGCCGTAAACTAGACTTATACCTGATTACTTTCTGCTCTTACCTGGTTTCTCTCTCTACACTAGCAGATCACAGGGGGAGCAGCGAGAATCATGATGAACTATGCCCAGAAATGAACATGCTTCAAAAGATGGAAGAGAACCATCGAAATCCAGAGGAACCAAAACTACAGGAAAGAATCCAGTTGGAGGAAGAGAGGAAAGACTCTTGCCCAGGGGGTAGCTTCCATGAAATTCCTGTTCACCAAGAAAAACAAAACGGAGCAAGAAAACATGTCTGCCTGGTGTGTGGAAAAAGCTTCAATCGCAAATCAGACCTGAATGTCCATTGGCGAATCCACACAGGAGAGAAACCCTACAAATGCCTGGAGTGTGGAAAGAACTTCAGGCAGTTGGCAAGCCTTTCATCACATCAAAGAATCCACACAGGAGAGAGACCATATAAATGTGCAGAATGTGGAAAGGGCTTTTATGACAAGTCAAGTCATCTTATACACCAAAGAATCCACACAGGGGAGAAACCGTACCAGTGCTTGGTCTGCGGAAAAGGCTTCCACCAGAGCTTTGGGCTTACATCCCATCAGAGAATCCACACAGGAGAGAAGCCCTATGTCTGCTCAGACTGTGGAAAGAGATTTTACGACAAACCACACCTTGTTAGACACCAAAGAATCCACACAGGGGAGAAACCATATACATGCTCAGAATGTGGAAAGAGCTTCAGCCAAATCACGAGCTATACTTCCCATCAAAGAATCCATACGGGGGAGAGGCCCTTTATTTGCTCTGACTGTGGAAAAGCCTTTTATGACAAATCAAATCTTCTTACACACCAAAGAATACACACAGGAGAGAAGCGATATAAATGCCTGGAGTGTGGAAAGAGTTTCAGTCAGAAAAAAAGTCTCACTTCCCATCAGAGCATCCACACGGGTGAGAAACCATATCAGTGCCTGGAGTGTGGGAAGAATTTCAGGCAGCATACGGACCTTACCTCACATCAAAAAATCCACACAGGGGACAGACCCTACCAATGTCTGGAGTGTGGAAAGAGGTTTTATAGAAAAGCAGATCTAAACAGGCACCAAAGAATTCACCCTGGGGAAGAAAGACCTATTATTGCTTGGAGCGTTGAGATGGCTTCGGACGGTGTGTCAGTGTTGCGCCCGCTTGGAGAGTTCACTCAAGAAAGCCAGGATATTGCTTCTGGCATTAAGCAGGAACTGTATTGTTAACTCGCCCCTGATTTGCCGTCAGAGTTCTGCCTAAGCAAAGCACTTCGCCTCCTGCAGAGAAACACTTGGCAGCATGGAAAGGGCATCAGACAGAGCAAATGTTGAGTTTTCTGACTGTGTACGAGTGAGACATTTCTTGGCCGTGCAGCCTCTCAGAGGTCTTCTCCTCTTGGAGAACCCCACAACCACTTTCCAAAGATTATGAGCCAGCAAGCTTACATATGCTTCTGTTTGTTTTCATTGTGCCTTATTTCCCTACCTACATTTCTCTCTTCCCAAATACACGCAGAATGCTTGCTTTCTTTTGGTAGAAACCATTACCTTGATTGAGCTTGGCTTCAGTTTGCCCTGCTTTTCCAGCTGTTGTTAGATGAGATGCACAGTGAACTAGGTGGTGGTAGTTTGGATGGTGGATTTGGAAGTGTCTAGAATTAGCTTTATATAGGTCAAGCTTGACCTATGCACAGCAATTCCACTGCACAGAGCCTGGAGACTAAGGATGTCAAGAGCCAGTGTGCTGTAGCTGGACTGAGACTTGGAAAAACCAGGTTTCGGCCCCACTCAGTCATGAAGCTCCCTGGCTCCCTGATTCTTGGCCTAACCTACCTCAGAGGGTTGTTGTGAGGGTAAAATGGAGAGGAGGAAGAAGAGGGCTATGCAAACTGCCTGGGTTTTATTTGCAGGAAAATAAGAGAATTAAAATTAATGCATATTGGGTTCATTAAAAAACAAAGAAGCTCTCTGGATGCATAATCTCAAGGGCACAGATCAGGGAAAGTTGCTGAAGGGAAAACCTTGCTTTATATTCTTGTACAAAAGGCAGAGCCTTTTCTTTGTCAAAGCAGGAAAGTAAAAATAAAACCCACAGTCAAAAGCTGCAATAGAAGCAACATGTCACAAGAAATAACAAGTTTTCAGATTCGTCAGGAATCTTAGGCCAGATGTGAGATCAAACAGTGGGACCTGCATGGTTTGAGTAAAGCTTGAGAAAGAACCGAGTAATTGCTGAAATTTACATTTTCCCCAGATGCAGCAACTTTCATTGTTGCTTGGTTTTAGGAATAGTTCTGCAAGCATCGTGCGCTCTAATTTACTCTTTGGCAGGCTGCTCCAATTACAAATACATGAATTTTCATTTGTGTTCTAGCATGTGATTATTAAAAATGGCAGACCTGGAGAGAAACTATCCCAGGCCCAGCTTTTTCACTTCATGCTTGCCAGCACTTCTGTTTCACATCTGAAGATTCCTGCAGAACTCCAGAGTCTGCTCATCTCCCTTGACATTTGTGTTAGCCCTACTCAGACTATTGCATTACTGCAAGTTCCCTTTTTCTGGTCTTTGGTTCTTTTTTCTTTTGCACTTACATTTTTATCGAATGTTTTCATGTTTTTCTAAGAAAAGGATGAAACGTCTTTGGCAGAAGCAAGACTGCAAGATCAGTGCAATCCTACACATGCTCTGCTCAGGTACCACTCTCCACTGAATCCAGTGGGATTTAAGTAAGGATGCATGGAATTTCAGCCTATATTGGAGCTGATAGTTTAGGGCATGGGTCCTCATACTATGGCCTGGGGGCCGGATCCAGCCTGCCATGCCCATTTGGACCTGCTGCACACACGCCCATGCGAGCACCCGCCACGGCCCACCTCACCCCACACGCAGGAGGCAGTTTGCTTGCTCAGAGAAAACGATCTCCAAGTGAGCAAGCTGCTGCCTTGTGCGCCTTCCTCATGGCGCATGCCCGCCCCTGCCTCATCTTGCCTCCCCTCGCTGTGTGTGCCTGCCTATGCTTCACTGCGCACCCTGCCTCAGCGTGCACGCCTACACGCGCCACCCCCGCCACCTCACCAGCCCACAAGCATGACCAGGCACCACCTTTCTGGCCTCGGCAGCTTTCAACTGGCCCCCTGGTCAAAAAGCCTGAGGACCCCTGGTTTAGGGCCATGAGATGGCAGGCCATGCATCAAGCTTGTTAGTCTAATTTCTATTTTTATTTTATCATGGGATGGTATAGAAAAGTTTTGATTAATTAAAATAAGCTTCATTCTTTTGGTTCCTTACCAACATCTGGTTAGAACAAGAAGGTTTTTTCCTCTGGCTGTGGCTGGAGATACTTTTGAACTCCCCACCCAGAGAGGTTCATTTTAACCCCTCTTTCTTGATCCTTCTACCAGATAGTTAAAATCTTCCTTTTAGATTTTAATATTTGAGGAACACCTTTGGCCTTTAAGGCTGAATGTTGTTGCTTGCTTGGCCATAACTGGTATGCAATCCTTTTTCACTTGTACAATTTTTAAGGTGGATTATGTTGGCTTAATACTTTTGTTAATCTTTTAAATATTTCTCTTCTGTCTTTACCATAGATAACTGCCCTTTCTATTGTATTTTATTACCTTTTGTTAGCTGTGCTCCAAATGATATGAGGAGGGCAGACGTAAAAAGTTTTAAATGAATAAATTGCATAATGGATAATGTCTGGTAATTATTTGTCCTTTGCATTCTTACAAGTGATGCTGAATCAGAAGCCTTTTGGAAAAGTCAGCGTGTTCAATGAAATAAAGATGTGTGCGAAAACTTTTCAGCTGTTGCCTTAAGAAGCCTGAGAGGGAAACCAGTGAAGAAGCATTTTGGAGAATGTTCAGGAATCCAGGAACCATGCTACACCTTGAAATGCTGAAAATTAGAATATTTTGGGCGTAGCACTTCATGCACAAATCAATAGATATAAATTGTACGGTTATGATCTGGTTCCTGACTCCTAGCAGAGCAGATCACAGGGAGAGCAAACAGGAGTTTGGTGGAGGAGGAGTTGTAGTGGAAGAGGAGACAGAAGCAAGCAAAGATGGGCTTGCACTAGCCCAGCCAAAAGCCTTTGTCTAAGAGACAAGTGAAGAGACGTTCCAGATAAGCTGGTTGCTGAATGCTGATTAACTGAAGGGGAGCAGCCTAATCAGCTACCGGTAGTTGTGTGGGTGGGGGTGATTTATTCTGGTTCCTGACTCCTAGCAGAGCAGAGCACATCAGAGCAAGCTGCCCCAGCTGGTCTAGAGCCTCTGGGATAGAAGCAGCCAAGCTCCCAGGGAGCGAGCAAACAGGGGAAACAAATAGAGCAAACAGGAGTTTGGTGAGTGATGTCCCTAACAGTTCCCCCTTGGTTTCTCTTCATTTCACCTTAATTATGCCTAGGCATAAGGAACAGCATCCAAACAGTTTTAAATAAATAATTCCCCCTGTGCACGCACACACATATACAGAGTTGCTTCCTTATAACACACATTTACTAGTAGAAATGCAGTTTTTTGCTAACCTTTAATGAAGACATTCAGAAGAACCACAGAATTGCTAGAAAACACTCTGCACATGTGGAAGCAGTGGAACCCTCAAAATTAGTTAAGTTACATGAGGAAGGAATATGTGAGAAAGCCACTGAAAGAACTACACAACACACTGTGTAACTCTGAAAAAGTGACAAAAGACCAAGCAAGGAAAAGGACACCAAAGTTTACAGCAGCAAAAGGAGAAGAGTGATAGTTCTGCAAGATTCTCTTTTGCATGGATGGAAAAAAAATGTATGTCGTGATGAGCCAGAGGATCGCCAAGGATGCTGTCTCTCTGGCACTCACCATTTTAGTGAGTATTGAGGCCAAAATAAAAAGCAGTATATTTGTTATATAAGTTCTTGTGCATTAGTTTTTAAATACGATACCAAAAAAAGAAAATTCTCTAAGCAGAAACAAAGAAAATGCTCGAAGCAGAAACAAAGCAGTAAAATGCTAATAAAAGAAAGAATGTTGAAATTAAATATAATTGAATACAGCTGACATTTTTTAGAGAGCAATATTTAGTTCCAATAAGGCTAGTTTGAAATCTGTTGTTGCTTTTTTCAGGAAAATTGGATCAAATATTTGCAGTAGCAACATTCAGAATCAGTATAAAAACAATAGTTTGCTCACAATGAATACAAATTCAAATACAATATTAAGATCATTGCAATACAAAATCAAAGTTATTTAATAAATACCTAATGTTAAATCATGACATACAACAAATCCACCCTTTTAAACACCAGGACACACCATGGCAGAGTGGCTAAGAAAACACACTCAATGCAACCCCTGTCCCCCATTTCCCCTTGTGCACCAGAGGAAACACAGGCCAGGGTCCTGCTCAGAATGTGCAGGGCAGCACCTGTCTCTCAGGTGGCTCCTATTGAGCTGTCTCTCCCCTCCCAGGCCTCTTCAGCAGGGAAGAGGTAGTGAATCTGTAGAGAGAGCACAACTGGCCAGTGGCCCTTCCACGGACCAGCAGTTGAAAAGCACTGACCTAGGTGACTCTAGAATGGTGCCTGGTCAGTGTCGGCTACATTTCAAAGACACTCAGAAGCAGATTTCTAGAAAAGAGAGTTTTTTTCTAGCCCAGCTGTGTGTTAATATTTGCCTGATTGTACCCGTTTCAGACCCATTGATTTGTACAAGTGAAAAGAGCATGTCTGACTAGTTCAGGAAGAATGTTTCTCTGAATGAATTCTGCCCAACTCCCACTCCAGTGCAGAAAATGAGGCAGAGGACATATTCTTGGGGATGGGGGGCACATGGTAGGTCAGTGGAGCCCATCAGGTTGAAGATAGGGTCCAGGTGGCAGGATGCAGTTGGCATTTAAGAGAGCGGTGCTTTTTGAAGCTGAGCTGCTTCCTGAACTGTGTGGTGAATCCCTTTGTGACACAACTTATCCATCTTCTCATTGCTAATTGGGCCAGTGGTATGAACCCTGAACAGCCCAGTTGGTTCAAAGAGAAAAGAATGGAGATTTGCACGTGGTAGTGAGAAAGAATATCCTGAAAGGTCTGCAGTGATTTCTGTACCGCAAAAACTTTTCTATGTAGTTTAGAAATTAGTAGTGTGGGGTGCTTAACTGTATCCCCCCTCAACCATCAATAACTAATTCTCAGGAATTGAATGCATCATGTGTTGTTGGGCTGTGAGTGGTGAGTTCGTTGTGGTTAAAAGCCATGGCTGCTGGTTCAAGCAGCTGGCTTCAGTCCACAGACGCCAATTTCAGCAACAAGCCACACTCACTGCAGACTCAGCCCCAGAATGGGGGTAGTAGTGCTGTCTGAACCCAGACAGTTTGTATGATCCAAGATGAAAATGTCTAATTAAATTTTGCTTTTGTAACACTCTGGATATTATCTGATTACTGTATTATGATGGACAAGACTGAAGAAAACCACACTGAACACAACAATTAAGCTAATCTGTTCATTGATCCTAAATGGTGAATTGAACTGAACACGGTTTAGAACCAATGAAATATTCACTGCCAAGGAGAGACCACTCTGCTAAAATTAGCAAAACCTAAGAAAGCATGGTAAGAAAAGGAATAAGGTTTATACTGTTGTTTTCATCATAAGATGCTCCTTTGTGTTCAGATCAGGCCTCAAGACAATGATGTAGCACTTGGGAAGGAAGATGCAGCCCAGCAGCCCAGCACTGGAGGCCAAGATGGAGAAGACCTGCACGGCCACCACGTACATGCCCTTGGTACTCAGGTAAATGGGAACGAAGGACACCCAGACACTGCAGAAGACCAGCATGCTGAAGGTGATCAGCTTGGCCTCATTGAAGACCCCGTGCAGCTTCCTGGCCAGGAAAGCCACTGTGAAGCAGACAGTAGCCAGGAAGCCCATGTAGCTGAGGGCAGCATAAAACATGGCAACCAAACAAATCAGCCAGTTCAGATAACTCCTGGTGCTTTCTCTTTCTCAGGAAGCAGCTTCTATCCATGCAGCTCAGATGGGGATTGTCTGGGTCAAACCCCTTGATCTCTTTGGCCCCTCCTTTGGCTGCAAGGAACTCAGTGCCAGCCAGTTCTCACCTTTAACCTGTTCCCCTGCACTTTTGCAGCACTGTTACCCAATCTATTTTGAGGGCTGGTTCCTTTGCTTCCTAGGCCTCAACTTTTGACCCATTGACTTAAAGATATCATCCTCATTGGGGCTGAGACCCCCATGATGAATACCCTGTCGAAGGTCACCTTCCTTTTTGGTCAACAGACTTGGGTTAGCCTGTTTTGCAAGGTGGGAGCAGTTTGAGATGAGGCAATGGACTAATGTCCAATTCAGTTATCTGCTTTGTCCTTTGAGGCAATTCTTCAAGATTTCATTGTCTGCGCTTCACTCAACTTCTGGACTCAGCTGTACACTTGGCTGTAGGACTTGCCTCTCACAGTTTGCCTGGTTAGTCCTTTCCTTCCTCGTGGATTGTACAAAAATCAAGGCAGAACACAGGAATCACTGTCTTTGTAGTTCCAGTTCATCTGGTGTCTGGAAAGTACAGCTCACAAAACAGGTGGATTAGAAAAACTTTACTTTTCTTCACAGACTCTGGTTAATCACGTTAGCTTGGAGAGGATGTTGAGAAATCTTTGTTCCATTTCAACCCTGGTCCTCCCCACAAGTCTGTTCAGCACAGTCTCAAGAAAAATGTCTGAGATGCTCAAATCAAATCCAACCCATGCCAAAAATGCACACAAGAGAAACCCCTTGTTGAACTTGCGTGCTTCAAACCCATTGCTTGCCTTGGTTAAAGCAAAATGTGCCTCCTGATGGTGTTTGTCCAGTGAGAACATAGTACCACACAGATTTTTACAGAGGTGGTACCTCCTCCCACACATACATGAATAAACAATGTTTCAAATCCATTACATATACATGCAATGTGAACTAGCACCCTTTACAATCAAACAATAAATGCTTGTTCATCTTGATGAGCATGACTGCTTATGCTCGCAGCAAGAAAAATTAAAAAAAAAAACCTTGCCATTTCCTGGGGCTAGGAAATGGGCTTAGCCCCCCCCCCCCACACCACAAACATTAGGTTGCTGTAAGGAAAACTCTCCTTAGCACCATCAATATTCCTTTCTTGCACAAAACACCTTCCATAGCTACTTTTCCTTTTAAAATGTGGAGGCTTTACAAGGAATGGAGTAAAATATTTGGCAACATTGCAAAAAGTAAAAGGGAACAACCCTCTTGTTGAAACCACAAGTAGTCTTTTTGGGATTTTTGAAAAGAACCCCTCCCATTGTGCACACGCACACACCCAACCAAACAGCCCCAGTTCCACCCATTACCCCTCTTCCTCCAATCTGTGTGGTGGTACAGGCACAAGATGGTATACCTAGAATTCAGAACGCATTCCCCCTCCCCCTTCCACACAAAACTCCTGGTAGTCACCACAAACAATTAATGCATCCCCACAATACTGCTTCTGGAAGGTTTCCTTCCCTTAAAAAAATTCCCCTCAGCCTCCTCATTGAGAGTGCTCAAGGATCCTTTGTTCTAACCCAGTCCCTTCCCATACAGACTTTTTCCTGAGGCAATACAGGCCCTGAACACTCAAAGAATGTCTCACCTCAGTTGCAATACCTTATTGCCCCCTCCCTTTAAGATTTAAACCCCCTAATATTCCCTTTTAGAGTTTTCTAGACACTCCAGATCCCATCCAGAAAACCAATGCAAGTCTGTCCCCAACTCGTGGCTGGAAGCAGCACTGCCCCAACTTCCCAAAGCACTTTGCACATGCTCAGAGGCTCTTCTGTGTGTGCTCCCTCTGCAGCACTCACAAAATGGTGGTACCTTTTGCCAGAGCACTCCCCTTTCTTGGCTGTGTGGATCCCACAGTCAAGTCCATAGTTTCCAGCACACATTTCCCTGAATTCAGCTGGCCAGACCAAATCCAGAAAAAGCTGCCGTTGCTGTCCCTTAAATAATGGAGTGCTCTTTAGCAAATGAGGTACACAAACCCTCTTCTTTTTTCTTGCTTTTTCCTTCTTTTTTTTTACCCAAATGAAGTGTGCACCATGATGCCCTGCAATAGCAGGGGTTTGAACTCGATGGCCTATGTGGCCCCTCCCAACTCCTCCATTTTGTGCTTCCATGAAAAACTTTAGCAGTTTCATTTCTTACACGTTTTTCCCCTTTTGAACCAAAACACTCAACCACCATTTATCCAAAACACTTTAAAAGCCCATTCACACACCAAGCTCCATGCCTCCTCCCCTTAAAGCAAGGAATTCCTGCAAAATGCATCACCTCACATACTCGCATCCTCACATGGCCTCTAGCACAATTTTCCTTTTGCCCTTACGCCCCACATACCAAACAATTGCAAGTTCAACTAGAGAAACTAAATCAGCCCAGAGAAAAAAACCAAGAACATATATACTACCTGCCTGACAAGGTGGACTTCCAATAGCAGTGCCTATGTGAGAGGGAAACTGCAAGGCCTAAGCCCACACAGCCTGCAACCCCCCACCCCCCTTCGCTGCCTCCATGTGCAATTTTCACTCGTTGAACTCCAACCTGCCACTGTTCAGGCTGCTTGCTAAACACAACCATCCAATCTCTACCATTTCACCGAAACCTCCTCAACACATAAAAGAAAACCCTTCCCTTCTGCATCTTTGCTTCAGTTTTCCTTCCCTTTTTTTTTTCTTTCCCTGGGAATCCCTTCAGGATAAGCAGGATTCCCCTACTACCTTTTCTTTCATTTCCACAATCCTTCTGCTCACTTGTCTCTACTCTCGCTTACAACAATCTACTACAAAATTCCAATCCAAAGCATGAAATTACAACCACACCACACAGTGCTTTCCTTTTGCATGTCTTTCCTCCTGAACAAATCCTCTTCCTTCCTACCATGCCTTCCTTCACAAACTGATACTCCAGCAACATCTGATGAGAAATGGATTCCCTGAATTCATTTAGCCTCTGCAGCCCCTCAGATGTAGTCTTCACCTTTCTCGGTCCAAAATACACTTCCTAACTCTAATTCCTGCTCCAAAAACAACCTTCTAATCTCATCTCAAGTGTACCTCCAGGTAGTTGGAGTTCTTTCCTGAAAGGCCCCACACTTTAGGCCCAATCCGCAAGAATTCCCTATTAACCACGACTAACAACAAACAAAAACAATTATACTCCCCCCCCTCATTTATTTAGGTGGGATTCCCATCAAAACCACATACAAATACTCAGTAGTTTTCCATTTTTCCTTTTCCAGCCACCCCAACCCAAAGGCTATCCCAGAACCTTAAAATCCTCCCCAGGAACTTGCAAGGAAAACATTTTTCCTTGGCCCCTTTACCCCTGTAGAAACAGAATGGGTCAGGAAAGACCTTCTGGGCCCTCCAGCCTGACCCCTCCCCTCCTGTAGAATACTTTACTCCCCATTCCCTTTCCCTCGGGTGAGAAAAAAGATTCCTTACCTAAACTTAGATGCATCTTATCAGATTTACACTACCCTTTTTAACTTCTCCTGAGGTTTTCGGAAACTCTGCTGCCGGATTTTCAATCAGTCTTCGGGCCTCCGATCGTCCTCGTTTCGGCCAGAGAGAGTTATTTGCAGGACTGCCATATTTTCGGCAGGGTACCCACCTACGAAGACTCAGCCGACGACTGATTTAGGAGATGTCCCAGACAGAGCCCCCAGGTTGTCATCAACACTCTTTCCTTTCCGATGGAAGAGAAAAATATCCCAGGCATGCAGAGAGTTCTTTTTAAAACTTTATTGCAATAAAGGGAACAGAAGGGAATGTTTTCCTTCCCATTCTTCTGTTCACCTGAGCACATGTTCACACACTCCTTTGGAGCCCTGTTCAGGACCGTTTGTTCCCTCCTCCTTTCCCCTAATTGGCTGGGACTGAGAGTTACATTCTTTCCCCCTGGCTACTCCATGCTGCCCCAACACCAGCCTTTCTTCCCAATCCAGCCCTGCCCCTGGTGGGCTACTATAGGACATTTGTCCTGCCAATCCTGCTTCTTTGTAAGCAGGAAGCCACTTAGTCAATCTCCAGCCATTTTGCCTACAAGCCGCCCTTCTTTTCTTGCTGAAAAGGGAGCTTTCTCACTCCTCCTTTCTTTCTTTTTCATTCCCCTTTTTCCAAATCACCTCCTCCACACTTTTCCTATCAGTGCCTGCATGTACAGCTGTCCTTACAAATAGATGGATAGAGATAAAGTTCTACAAATGAATAGGCCTGAGGCCTATCTTGGCCTAGAGCCTGGCAGAGCAGTGGTTGCCTAGAATACAGCAACCTTTCAGAGTGTGAGATGACAACGGTGTTTAAGTTTGTCCAGTGGGTAACCTGAAGTTGGCTGCCAGTGACTCAAAAGGCAACATGATAGGCCAGGAGATTTTGCATTGTGAGTAGGAAGTTGTAGGTCTCTAGAGTTTTTTGGGCTAATCAGGCAAAGGGGGGAGGGGGTTGAGGTAGAGCTGCGGAAACTGGAAGGGAAGGGAGGCCAGGCCAGGCCAGGCCAGGCTGAGTGAACAGGGAAAGAACAGGGACTGCTGGCTTCATTTCAGAACCAGTATTCCACTGTTCCTCACCTGTCTTATCAAAGCTAGAGGTGAGAATATGCCTCTTATTGTCCGTATTTTCCATGAAGTCATCTCCAATTTCTGGCACCCCTATCAGTAAAAGCCCTCCAAAATGGCCTGCCCATGACAGCCCTGCTCAAGCACCTCTTTCCAGTACAAGGCTGTGGCTTCCTGTATGGATTCAATCTGGTAGAAGCCTTAAGCTTTCACCGAAGGAGAGAATGCAGGAAAGTGAAGTATCTGCTCTACTGGGCATTCATATGGGTTGAACCCAGATTAAGATGCATGACGTCTTTCTCACCCACACAGGATTCTTGTCAAAGGGTCTGTGTATGGCACAGCTGTGCATTGATATTTGTCCGATTAAACCTGTGTAAGTGATACCTATTGATTTGAACATGTGAAAAGAGCATGTCTGACTAGTTCAGTAAGAATGTTTCTCCCAGGGAATTCTGCCCAACTCCCACTCCAGTGCAGAAGATGTGGCAGAAAACGTTTTCTTAGGGGCCAAATGACAGATCAGTGGGACCTGCAGGTTAACCCCAGTTAAAATCAATGGAACATTAAAGTAATGGGAAAATGAAAAGTGTTTCACCTACTGGCAAAAAGAATATAACGTCAGTGTCAGGCAAAGATAGAAACAGAGAAACAGAGTGAGTCAGAAGGGGCCTCCCAGGCCATCTAGTCTGACACCTGGCTCTAGCTGGGTCTGCTCAAGACCTGTCCAACATGTGCATATCAACCCTATCATGGAAAACCCTCACTGATTGGACCTAAACGACCTTCCATGGAAGCCCATTTCACACCCCTGGGGTCCCAACCATCAGGAAGTGCTTCCTGACATCTAAATGGAACCTTGGTTCCCTGAGCTTTGCTCCTTTGGAGTGCGTGCTGCCTTCCTCTGCAGGGGAGAACAGGTCTCTACCCACCTCTGTGTGAAAACCCCTCACATACCTGTATGTTGCCAACAGATCACCTTTGAATCTCCTCTTCTCCAGGCTGAAGAGACCCAGTTCCCTCAGTCTTGCTTCATACCCCAGGTGTGAGATTCCTGGTTGAAGATAAGGCCCAGGTGGCAGGGTGCAGTTGCATGCATGAGAGCGGTGCTTTGTGAGGCTGCACTGTTGTTCAACCTGCATTTTGAACTATGTGGTGAATCCCTTTGTGGAAACACCATATCCACCTCCTCGGTGCCAATTCGGCCAGTGGTAAGAACCCTGAGGAGCCTAATTTTTCATAGAGAACAAGACTGGACATTTGCACATGGGAGAAAGAAAGACTATCCTGAAAGATCTGCAGTGATTTCTGTACCACAGAAACATTTCTATGAAGTTTAAAAATTAGTAGTGGGGGATTTTTAATATTATCAGCCCTCAATCATCAATAACTGATTATAAGTGGTTGAATACATAATGTGTTGCTGGGCTGTGAGTGGTGAGTTCGTTGCAGTTAAAAAGCCATGGTTGTTAGAGCAGCTGGCTTCAGTCTGCACAGGCCAATTTCAGTAACAAGCCTCACTCAGTGTTGACTCAACCACAGAGTGGGGGTAGTAGTGTTTTCTGAACCTAGCCAGTTTGTATGATCAAAACTTAATTTGTCTAATTTATTTTGCTATACTCTGGATATTATCTGACCAATCAATCATGATGACCAAGACTGAAGAAAACCACACTGAACTGAAGATTTAAGCTGTTCTGTGCATGGTTCCTAAATGGTGAATTGAACTGCACACTCAATTTAGAACCACAAAGAAATTTCCACTGCCAGGTAGGGACCACTCTAAAACTAGCAGAACATCAGCATTTGTGGTAAAAAAAGGAGTAAGACTTATACATGTGTTTTCATCATGAGATGCTTCTTTGTATTCAGATCAGGCCTCAAGACAATGATGTAGCACTTGGGGAGGAAGATGCAGCCCAGCAGCCCAGCGCTGGAGGCCAAGATGGAGAAGACCTGCACGGCCACCATGTACTTGCCCCTGGTGCTCAGGTAGGTGGGCACGAAGGACACCCAGACGCTGCAGAAGACCAGCATGCTGAAGGTGATCAGCTTGGCCTCATTGAAGGCCCCAGGCAGCTTCCTGGCCAGGAAGGCCACTGTGAAGCACACAGCAGCCAGGCAGCCCATGTAGCCAATGGCAGTGTAGAACATGGCCACAGAGCCTTCACTGCATTGCAGAATGATCTTTCCAGTCTGTGAATGCATGTCAGAGTCACAAAAGGGTGCAGAGGTGGCAATCCAGATGGTGCAGAGGAGAACCTGGACAATAGAACAGGAGATGACAATGGAGTTGGCCAAGCTCTTCCCCAGCCAGTTCCTTGCCCAGTTCCCTGGCTTTGTGGCTAGGAAAGCCAGCACCACAGTGATGGTTTTGGCTAAGAGTGAAGAGACAGCAACAGAAAAGATGATGCTGAAGGCCATTTGTCGGAAGAGGCAGGTCACCTTCTTTGGCTGGCCAATGAATAGGAAGGAGGACAAGAAAGAAAGTTGGAGGGAAACTAGGAGAATGTAGGAGAGGACTTGGTTGTTGGCTCTGACCACAGGGGTTTCTGCAAATTTTATGAAGAGTCCTAACACAAATCCTGTTGCTGAGGACAGAATTAGGGCCAAAGATGACAGAATTATCCCCAAAGGTTCTTCATATGCTAAGAAGGTAATGATCTTTGGGACACATTGATCTTGCTGCAGGTTGGGATGCTGATCTCCTGGACACTTGGTGCAACGTTCTGCATCTGCAAAGCACAAGAGAAACAGCTCAGCAGCACCTTTAGCCACCTTTGTCCTTGCATATCTATCAAATCTGTTTCTCAGGTATCAAGAAACTTTGTCATGGAGGTCACAGTGAAGCTTTTTGGGCCTTGTCCTCACATGAATAATCAAAATGGGGTTCAGATTTTGAAACATGATTTTAACAGAGGAATGGAAGGAGGATAAAGGATATCCACAGTGCAGCACATGATTGGGAAATAAAATGACATCAAGGTTTTACCCCTTTTTCCTGGTGTCACTGATGGGATCCTGGATGGGCCATAATAAAGCCCTCAGCCGAGTTTAGTTCCTTTCTATGGCACTAAGCATTCCTAACATTCTACAGATGGTGTATTTCTGCCGTGAACCACTGTTCCATTCTTGCTGTTTTCTTTCTGGGTGCATAAGTCAAATACAAACTGCCACACCGCTGCCTGGCAAAGCCTGCGTGCCAACTGGGCTAAGTGGTTCTTTGCCAGATGCCCAGTCCTGCTAGAGTGCCCTCGTGGCACCTGGAGACAGCGAAGGTCAGTCTGTGAACCTTGTGAGAACTGCCTGTGGAGAGTGACCCCTGCTGCTTTGCATTCCCCTTCGCCCTCTTCACACCACTACTCTTTGGTGGTGGAGAAACCCACACTGATCATAGTTCATGCTCTGCCTCTCCCTGTGCTCAAGTCTATACTTAGCCGGGGTCACTTTTAACGCAACAAGGAAGCTGTGGAAGTGATGCCCCCACATTAGCCACCGTTGACAGGGAATCGGACAAAGTGAAGGAGATAAAGCTGTCCATGGCTGTACTTTCAAGGGACAGTTTCCCTCCTGTCTTTCCTTCCAGGGTCACCCACCCTCCAGGGTGGAGATGGTCCCTTCAGCACAGGGATGACAGTTGTAGCAGCAAACGGGTTTTCCTTCCTGAACTACTTTCACGAATCCAGGAAGGCAGCTTTCCACACATCTGGCAAGGGGGAGCGACTGAGCCTGCACACGGAAAATTTAACAGAAAGGTGTTGGGTATTAGAATTTGAAAGTACACAATAGGCCTTCTTGTGTTTAAACCCAAGACTCAACCAAACTTGAGCAACTTTAGTAAGGAAAATCATGTCCTTGTTCACTCCTTTGGAGTTGCTACTTCTTTTTCCTCTACAGTTCTCTTTCTGTTCATTTTGAGATTTCAAGCACCTTGAGGCATGGCTGTACATTCTTTTAGAGTGCAATGTCCTATGGACAGTGAAAGCAGTATATAGATGGGTAAGAAATGTTCGATCCAATAATCCATGGCCCATGTTTGAAAGTAATCCTTCCAATGACCAGCTGGCACTCAGAGCTGGGGAATTGCACTCTTCTCTGTCCGATCTTGAACACCTTGTGCTACTGGAACTGATGGAGAGCCAAATGCAGTCCCACCTCGAACACTGTTCCCCAGACCGGTGACCTCCTGATAGGTTAGTCTCTGGAGGCCACATCCCCACTATTGTCCCTGCTTGCTTCTTTGGATATCCTGAAATTTTGGAAGGCTCATCAGTGGAAAGGAAGCAGTGCTCTTGCCCACCTGGAGGAGCCACTGTGGCCACCCAACAGCATCTTGGTCAATGGTGAACTGGAGACCTGCAGGTCCCTTTCTTTCCAGGCTCCCGAATTTCATTCTCGTGACAGACCTATTGGGAAATACCACCCAATTCATGACGTCCAAGTTGGCTACCAGTTCTCCATTCTCATCCAGAAACACCCCATCCATGGAATTATTGTGAAACTGGGGACTTCTCAGGAACGGGTGAAGCTGGAAAGGCAAAGAGAAGCAGAAACCTCCTTTGATAACTCCAATTTGCCCCTTGCAGGTTAGAATCAGTGCTTAGGTGTATCTCCCAGCGTATGCAAGCTACCTGATTGCATCCCCTTGATCTGCTTAGAGCTTGAGAAGCTGAAGCAATTCAGTATAAACCTGTTTCAAAATTTTTACTCAGGCTCATCCTGGCAGGAATGGAAGCACCCATTTCGTGCCACAGATTTTGAGCATCATCTTCCTAATTCAAGGTATTCTAACTGAGCTCAATGGACAATCCACCTGGAACATGGAGAGCTGCCACTTCTGTTAAGTATGAAATCTGCCAATCCCCCAAATAGTCTCTCTTCCAAATGGATGCCACAGTTTTGTGATAGTATTGTGCTGTCTGGGGCCGTAACTCTGGAGGAGTTTTGTGTTGTCCCTGATCATACACACTGTTCACTTGCAGGTGTTGTGGTCTCTCTTACACTGGAGGTCTTCAAGATAGCTCTGGAGAGCCATCTGCCAGGAATGCTTTAACTAGACTCCTGCAGCATGCAGAGGTTGGAACTGATGGTCATGTAGTCCCCTTCCTCCTTCCCCGTCTACTCTTCTATGATTCTATGACATGAAGGAGTGAACCAGGAACCATAGCATAGAGTGCAAAGACCACCATAATCAATAAGAGCCAGCAGGATGACTGCCTGCATTTTCATTCTATGTACACAGCATATTTATTCCAGAAAAGAATACCTGCCATGGCTGTAGCCTTTGTGTGCCTCCTCCCATGTTCTTCTTGGATTCAGATGTATAGAAAGCATGTAAGGCCCTGGCCAAAGCCTGGACACTGTTGTAAATAAGATAACTGTCCAGAGACACAATTTTGTCCATCATATATTGGGGTAGGGTCTCCAGTTTGTCCTTCTCTCTGCATCTTGTCCATCCTTTGAGAGAAACCCTGTGCTTTGAATAGGAGCACTTGAAGGCTTTTCCCCAAAACCGCTCAATGAAAAAAAAAAGGTATTCAAAATGGTCATATGTTGCACTTTTTCTTGTCTGGAGAAAAAAGGAGAAGAGACCACAGATGTGCTGGAAAGAGAGATTATTGTATGTCAACTCCAAGGTGAGGTCCCACAAAGCTGTTGTGATCCACACTTTCCCCACACTGGGTCTCACAACATGTTCGACGAATCGTTGCACTAAGTAAATTGCATTTATGAAGGAACGAGTCTCTGCATGATAAACAAGGACAGTGACTTGTCCCCACTTGTGGAGGAAAGCCTGCCGAATGCTGTAGCTGCTCAGTGCTGAGATGCTCTGTGAAAAGACAACACAGACACCATTCCTGGTGAGCTCAGGTGTCAATGTCTTCATCAACTTCTCTCCAGAGTTATTATTTGGAGCAATAAGTCCAACCATTGTCCATCTGAAATGCAGAAGCAGTTTGACAATCGCTGGGTATTGGACTCCTTCTTTGGGGACCATCCGGTAGAAAAATGGGAATTGAATTTCATCAGTCAGGACCCCAGAAACAAATGCATAAGTAACCTAGGAGAACAATGATCAGTGAGTTAATCTGATCTGTTTCAAAGCCAAATTTCAACATTTCGTCTGATCTCTACTACTGTTTAATGTAAGGGTCGAACAAGTTCAACATGTAGCAAGTAGTCTTACTTTCACATTGCATAAATTGTCAAGCTCTAACATGATGGAACTAAAAATTAGCGTTATTTAATTATTTGAGAGCAATTAACCAGGTCCAGAGCGTCTCTCCTTGGGAGGTCTGACCTAATTCTTTTTGGAAGCTTCTCCTTTCATTTCGACAGTAAGGGTTCCTCTTTTCCCTTTGGGTTCTTTGCCTTTCATATATTGGATTATGCAATTACAAGTAAGCATGGTGGTATGCCTGCAGTATAGCAGAATTGTGAACTCACTAGAGTGTTGTTCCAGTTTGCAGTGTCACACCTGTGTTTGCTCAATTGAATTATCCTTGAAAACATGGATGGAAAGCACAGCAAAGTTACTGCAGGAGGGTGGAGGAGGATGGAAACCCACAAGTCTCCATGAATGAGAGATCCCAAGCATTGTATAAATGCCTCCTGTGAAGAGGCCATAGGAGATAGGACACTGAACCCAGAATATGAGCATATCCTTTGCCTCTCTGCCCCTGCTGCAAGCCAATGATGTCCCTTGGTATTTGACTTATAGAAAATGACATCTGTAGCTGTTGATGCATTTTTTTCCTTTTCAAATAACAATGACTCTGCTGTGCAGGATGCAAGGAGACCTTGCTCCAATGCTGGACCTGGACGTTTATGTCCATGTCTCTATTTAGCAGGTGAGGAGGGGCCCTCATTGAATGTCTCTATACAAAGTTTTGATTTCTCTGGTGAGAACCTAAATGCAGATTGACTTGATTGAAAATGTTCCAAACAGCTCACATGTGCCCACCTGTGGGATTTTGTAGATGCCCATCATGCTTGAAATGCGGATGGAATTTTCAGTGTTTGACCCTTCAAGAACAACCATTGGGTGCTTCTGCCTGCTGCACTTGTAGTTTGGAACATTGGCCTGCCCAGGGGAGAGCAGGTCCAGCAGGGACTCGGAAGTCACTCTTTCATTGTGATAGTCATCGTAGGTGCTGTAGCCCAGAGTATGGTTGGGCAAGATCCAGGGGTTCCAGTTGATCTTCTGAATGGCAAAGAGGACTGAGAGGGTCTTCCAGTACTTAGTATAGCCTTTCCTGTCAAGACAGGGCAACATGGTAAGTGGTTTGGAGGTAGGTAGTTCTGAGGTAAAAGCCATTATGTCCTTTCACATTGAGGGGAAATGGGTGGAGTAAATGAGTTTGGAGTTTGGATGCACCTTCCAGCTGTGCTGGCAAGGCGTTTGTGATGCTGGCAAGCATAAAAGTACTGACCTCAAGCAGGTTTATTACCACCAGATCGGAGGTGACTAATCACACTGAACATGGGCTGAAGTTGCTGTGACACTCAAGTCCATCTTGAGGGAATCCCACAGGAATCTGGTCGACCACTAGATGGACCTTGGGTCTGATGCGGCATGACTATCTTTTGCTTCTTATCCCAGAAAGATGATGTTGGCCAGTGATGTACTACATACGTCAAAACTGTTTTGGTTTAATAAGATGTATTTGATGAAGTGCTTTCTCAGGTTCATTGGAGCTCCAAAATACCAGGCAGATGTGACCGATGGGGGGGACGTGGTGGTCCTAAGTACCAGGGCACAGCTGCTACACCTACTTCTGGCTGCTGGCATGGGTTATGTTGTTCTATGCTATGACTTCAGGAGGATTTCAAAGCTTTGAGAGGGAGACAGCTGGAGTTCAGGGCCAGGTATACCTCTTTGCATGCAGTCCTTGCAAGTGAAGCCCCCATTCTGATGTCACCATTCCACCAGAATTCCAGCAGGCATTCAATATCATGCACAAACATAGGTAGAAGTGGATGGAATCTGGATGGTCATCCAGTCCACCCCTGTCGAGATGCAGCCTGCTTTCTCAGATCACAGCATGCCTGCTGACAGAGCTGGATCTCAGAGTAAGAATTAGATGGAAAAGGAGATGGTCCAGAACGTGGCACAGAAATGTGAAGGACCGCACCTACAGTACAATACAGTCTTGTAGGCATGTAATTGTGTTAGGGTTCTTAAAATACTCTTTTTTATCTTTTCTACTGCATGGACATCTTTGAAAAAGAGTTCTAAAACAGGGGGAAAGGAGAGAGCTATTCAATCCAGTAAAGAGTGACAGAGGAGAGGGAACAAAACCAAGGGATCAGGCAGTGATGCTGAACATGGACGTAATGACTGACTTGCTAGCATGTGAAATTGCACAGCCTCTGGGTAACACAGGGGTAGATCCCTGGAACTTGGCACCTTCAGATACTTTTGACTACAGTGCCTATCAGTTTAAGCTAGTCAGGGATGATACCAGCTGCAGTCCTGCCTTTGTTGGGAAGCCTGCCTTGTGGTGTATAAAGGACTTTCTTCCCTACCAGATTGGAGAATCTTGGCATTCATCCAGCTATTGCTCCATGAACTGTGGCCCTTTCAAGCAACTGACACAGGAATAACATGTTCCTCCCCCTACACTGAACCTCTTTCCCTCTCTGATCTCCCTGTGGTGTAGTGGTTAAGAGCATGGGACTGGGACTCAGGCGATCTGGGTTCTAGTCCCCGCTTGGCCATGGAGCCAACTGGGTGACTTTGGGCCAGTCACAGACTCTCAGCCCAACCTACCTCACAGGGTTGTTGTTGTGGGGATAAGATGGAGGAGGAGAACGATGAAAGCTGCCTTGAGCCCTTTGTAGGAAAAAGGCACGATATAAATAAAAAAAGAAAAAAAGAAACTCCCTGTGCCACCTCTCCATTCTGCACTTCCTGTGTTCTCCCTCTGGGAACATGGAAGAAGAATTGCTTGGCAGGAGAAGGACACTTGGACCACGGATGAAATGCTCTTCGGCTTGATGCATGCGTAGTGCAGATGGTGCCACCTCAGCTGTCCAGGAAAGTGGGACCCAACTGGTGTTTACAGCCTGATCCTCTGCAATGGTTTTTGTGGCTTAAAGAGAGCTCAATTGTGTAGTTTTGGAAAATGCAATGTTAGTGCCATACCAGGTATTCCCACTGTATTTTGAAAGGAATTTTGTGGAGCCTGAACTCCAGATTTCTTCCGTTGCATGGAAGTTTAGTACTTCAACTTCTTTCCAAAAGGCTTGGCATTTTAACTGCAAGTGGAATGCATTTCCCAGAGCGACCGATCCAGAACACTTCAGTGTAGAAGGGACAGAGGGCATTTCTCCATAGAGGCTTCGGCGAATGGGGCGGCATAAAAATGTTTTAATAAATAAAAAATAAAAAAGCATTATGAAAGAGACAGCATTGCCTGTGATACATGCATTTCTGCAATATTTTCCTGCCGGGGCAGACATGCTCTGCAGGCTCCTGGTTTCTCTCAGGGCATCCTGGCCACTACAATGCAGCTTCCATTTCAGATTGCACCCCTTCCACTCGTGCAGAACTTTATTCTGAAGAAACCAGAAGAAGTGTCATTTGGGCTAGTAGGCCCAACCTGGATGCCATCCTGAGGCCAAATCCTGGTTGGTATTCCAGCAAGGAGTCCTTGCATGTTTCTTGTACTTTGCAGTTTTCTTCTCCAGTCCACAGAGATGGATAGAAATACTGTTCATATTCACTTTTCATTTGTTTGGATAAGACATATGCCTTTGAATAAATATTACAAAATATAAAATCTGCATACTTAGATCAGACAGATGATATATGTATGCCAGATGTATACACATACCCACACACAGCAATGCCGACATTTAAATAAGCAAGTCTGGGAAAGTTACAATGTTGACATAATTGAGCATATTTTAGTTTCTGCTGTTTCAGTTCAGCTGGCTGTGCCATCAGCTGTTCATCTTTGTCCACAAGAAGAAAAGGTATGTAGCAGTCAGGCTAGTGACCTGGCTTCTTAACTAGCAAGGGACAAACTCTTTACATACATGGCTACAGAAAAGACAAAACATTAATACAAGGGCAAGTGTCTCAAAACTTTCACCACAAGGGGAGTTTGTAGCACCAATTATTCTCAGGCAGTCACCCATCGAAGCAGGTTAGATAAACATTGTCATTTGTCTTCTATTATGTTAAAAGACTTGGCAGAAATCATTAGTAAGTGGAGCAACTGCTGTGAGGGAGTGGGCTTCCCTCCTTACAATGGACTTTATTTCCAATGCACAGTGGCAAACAATCAATGAAGGAAGGGTCATTGAGCATGGACAAAGTGTTTTACTGAACCCAACCTAGAATCTGAACCTGAGAGCCATCCTTTCTGAGAGCCCTCCTGCAAAAGACCAATGCAGGCTTCCTACTGGGCTAGCCCTCATCTCCTGATGCTGCATCATGGGGTCAGGGACTGGACCAGGCTCCTCTTGCTGACCTAACATGTAACAGCAACTGTGAGACAAGCTCTCTCTCCTCCGCCATCCCTGCCTTCACCAAACTTGCTTCTCTGCACTCCACAGCCACACCTGAAGTACCACCCTGGCACTAGGAAACACTGCCTCTTTCATTCCCAGCCATAACATTTAACAGCAACAGACACATCTAGACTTACTCAATGGATCTGATACGAGGAGCGTTGTGGAACACGTATGGTTTAAAAGCAGCTTCTGTCTCAGTGAAGACCCCAGCAATGAGGTGGTCTCCTGGACGGTAATGATTCAGGGGGTCTATCTCATCCCTTTCCAGAGCCAAGGGGCACTTGGCCGTGGGCATCCCACAGGTGGCCTGGGGCAGCAGCAGCAGCAGCAGCAGAATCATTCTGGGGACATGTGGTCGACCCCCCATGCTTATGGCTACTCTTTCCTATTGATCCCAAAAATGATTAGAAGCAGCAAAGGTCCATGTAAGGACAAAGGCAGCTTTTGAAATAGCGCTGGAGCCCATCAAGCCAAAGCATTACACTTAAGAGGATGCAGGGAAATAAAGCTCCCATCCGCACCCCTCTGTCCTTTGACTTCAGCCTGTACAGTGGCCCTCAATAGTCAAGGAGCTACCTATGCACCACTTCTTCTGCACCTGGATGTAAGACACAACCAATTATCTGTGTTGTGGACGCCACCATCTCTGATCTGGAAAAATCCCTTGAGGTTGGGCAAAAGGAAGCATTAACCACAATGATTTTGAGAATTATAGGGCGGACATAACATCCCTTTTGCAGTTTCCTGCACTGCACCACTGGCACCATTAGGAAAATATGTGACTTTCCATGCCATTCAAGAATCTGTGGAAATGTCTGGAATATTTGGGAGTCCTTCTGGAGACAGATTGCATTCAGAAAGGCCCTTTCAGCACTTCTTGCACTCAATTGTGGTTGAATTCCTGTTATGTTTACACCAAGAGAGCTCAAAAAGGAATGCCAGGAAAGGCTGGTGAATGGTAACCAGTACAAAGTCAGTGGGGCAAAAAGTGCAGTCAAAGATCAAACATGAAAGAGTGGAGTGGGTGGATACATAGCAATATCGTGGAATCAGGTGGAATGAATGAGGGGAGGCGTAGTAATGCAACAACAGTTGGAGGGGAGCCGGCCCAAAGCTTTCAGATGAAAAATGTGTGGTTACTGCTGAGAGAGTCAGGCTGCTGCTTGGGAGCTCCGGGTTCTTCCAGCTTACCCAGGAAGTTCCCTGGGCAGCTTTGGGACAGTCCGCAGTGCTCTGCCCAACCCACCTCACAGGGCTGTTGTGAGTTAAAAATAGAGACAAGAAGGAGTTTTTAACCCATTCCATTTTCCCTGCAGGGGAAAAGGCAGGATATAGATAGCCTGAAGGAAGGAAGGAAGGAAGGAAGGAAGGAAGGAAGGAAGGAAGGAAGGAAGGAGGCAAAGTAAAATAAAGACTAGTAATGTGGAGTGACAGTTACACTGTTGGACTGGGACTGGGGGGCCCTCCATGAAGCTCTCTGAGGGCTTTGGGTCATTCCCTGACCTGAAGCCAACTCCCCCGCAGGGTTGCTGGTGCGAGGATCAAATTGAGAGGAGAATATAAGCTGCCTTAGGATTCGCGCAAAAGGAGAAGTAAATTGAATAAACACTTTGTACTGAAAACATAACATTAGCCTTGTGTCATGCAAGGAGAAGCTGCAAAAATACTTCTCAAGTTAAATAACCAAGACTACCAACAGAGGGAGGCAATTCCTTCATTAATTGCAATAGACAGGGAGAGACCGTTCTACCAGAATCCCTCCCAAGTACAAAGACACAAAGCAGCTCCTTTTACTCCTCAGTCTGGCTGCCACAGCCCTCCGCTTTACCCATATTAGATGAAGTACTAGCAAGTTACATTCTATCCATCAACCTACTACATATTTCCCATCTCATCCCATTACATACATCTACATACACTGCATGTGCAGGATAATTAGCTCATTGTCCATTCTAGGTGTGTGAGTTAATATTCATGAACCTATTATGCTCTCGTGCTTATAGGTCACTCTAATGTCACCTTGCTCTATGACTACCCCTTGTCTCATGAAACTCCTGGGAGGATGAGTTAAGAAGGAGCTGGAGAGCTGAAACAAGTCCACTCCCTGAGTGCTTCCATCTTTATTGCTGAAGCAAGTACACTCCCTAAATCCCTTTATCTCTGGAGCTATAGATGTGCAAGCCAAGGTTAGGTTAGAGAAAGCAAAACTATGTGTGACAATGACTAGGTAGAACATGCAAGAGGATGGTAGAATGTGGAGCTTGCTGTTTGTTTGTATTGTGTGCCCTTGAAGGATAGAGACATTTAAGGAACTGTACTATTAAGTGGTGGGTGAATCTTCTCTTTGGCATGAGCCAAGGCTTCATCCTGCTGTAGCTGGTTTCCCAATAAACAACCTCTTTACTCAGGAGTCATTGGTGGGTTTTCATCTCCCCTGAGATGAAATGGAATTTTGATCTTTTTCTTCGTGGTAAAATGGATACACAAATATTTTTGCAACAGGGTGAATGCTGGAAGAACTTCCTGGAAGAAAACCCTAAAAAGGGGTTGTGGGGAAAGGGAAAGAAAAAGTTTAGAATGGCAAGGTCTGCAAACAGGCTTGCCGTGAGGCTGCCCATGCCCTGGGAGGACAGGAGCAAGAAAGAGAGATGGTTAGGTACTTATTTAGGTTAGGAGACAAGTGGCTGGAGAGCAGCACTTGTGAAAGGGACCTTGGGGTGCTGATGACTGCAGGCTTAACCTGAGTCAGCAGTGTGATGTGGTGGTCAAGAAGGCAAACGCCACCCTCGGTTGCATAGCCAGAAATGTGGCTTCAAGATCGAGAGAGGTATTACTACCACTCTATACGACTCTTGGGTGCCCACAACCGTTGTCTTGTGCTCAGTTTTGGGCCCCTCATTACAAAAAGGATATAGCCAGGTTAGATCAGTGCAGCACAGGGCCACAAGGTTGGTGGCCGGTTTGCAGGGGATGGGGTATGAGGCGAGACTGAGGGAACTGGTTCTCTTCAGCCTGGAGAAGAGGAGACTCAGAAAGGATATGTTGGCAACATATGGGTATGTGAGGGGGTGTCACACGGAAATGGGTAGAGACCTGTAGAGGGTAGAGGAAGGCAGGATATGCTCCAACGGAGCAAAGCTCTGGGAATCAAGGTTCCATTTAGATGCCAGGAAGCACTTTATGACAGCTAGGACCCCGAGAGTATGGAATGGGCTTCCACGGGAAGTCGTTGAGGCCCCATTGGTGAGAGTGTTCAAAGATAGGCTGGACATGCACATGATGGGCATGGCATGAGCGGAAACTGCTGGAGCCGGGGTCAGACTAGATGGCCCAGGAGGTCCCTTCTGACTCACTCTGTTCTATTTTTCTATTCATGGTCTGATCTTTCTGATGTTATGCATCAAATGTATAATGATTATTAATCCCACTTATTCCCAGTGATTGAGAGTCAAGGTGTGCCCACCCTTCCTTTCTCCCCCCCCCCCACTGCCTTTCTCTGTGTATACATATAAATACAGTGTATATGCTACACTGTTGTTGTTAGTCGCAAAGTCATTGCGACTAATGTTGTTAGTCGCAAAGTCATGTCTGACCCATCACGACCACATGGACAACATTCCACCAGGCCTTCCTGTCCTCCACCATCCTCCAGAGTCCAGTTAAGCTCACACTGACTGCTTCAGTGACTCCATCTAGCCACCTCATTCTCTGCCATCCCCTTTGTCTTTTGGCGTCAATTGTTCCCAGTGTTCTCATTAGGTGGCCAAAGTATTTGAGTTTCATCTTCAAGTATCTGGCCTTGTAAAGAGCAGTCTAAAGTCATGTCATGATATCGGTATAGATATATTCCATTTATGAGCAGTCATGATATGGACATAGATACATTCCATTTCTATAGTGCCCCACAGCTCTCCACACCTGCACCTGCATGTACAGTTGTCTATACAAATAGATGGATAGAGATAGAGTTCTACACATGAGTAGACCTGAGTTCTAGTTGGGCTTAGAGCCTGACAGAGCAGTGGTTGCCTAGGATACAGCAATCTCCGAGTGTGACATGACAACGGTGTTTCAATTGGTCCAGTGGGTAACCTGAAGTGATTGGTTGTCAGTGGCTCAAAAGGCAACATGATAGGCCAGGAGATTTTACATAGTGAGTAGGAAGTTGTAGGTCTCTAGAGTTCGTTAGGCTGAGCATGCAAGGGGCGGGGGGATGTTGAGAAAGGGCTGCAGAAACTGGAGGGAAGGGGAGGCCAGGCTAGGCCAGGCCAGGTTAGGCAGAGTGAACAGGGGAAGAGCAGGGATGGCTGACTTCATTTCAGATCCAATTTTCCTCTTTGTCTTAACTACTTCTGAAAGCTAGAGGTGAGAATATGCCTTTCCTTGTCATGGTTAAGTGCCATCAGGTCATCTCCAATTTGTGGTATTCCTATTAGTAATGGCCTGCCTTTGACAGCCCTGCTCAGGCACCTCTTCCCAATTCTAGGCTTTGGCATACCTGTATGGATTCAATCTGATAGAAGCCTTAAGCTTTCATCTAATGAGAGAATGAAGGAAAGTGAAGTATCTGCTCTACTGGGCATTCATATGGATTGAATCTAGGTTAAGATGCATGACTTCTTTCTCATCCTCACAGGATTCTTGTCAAAGGGTCTGTGTATGGCACAGCTGTGCATTAATATTTGCCTGATTAAACCTGTGTAAGTGATACCTATTGATTTGTACATGTGAAAAGAGCAAGTCTGACTAGTTCAGGAGGAATGTTTCTCCCAGGGAATTCTGCCCAACTCCCACTCCAGTGCTGAAGATGAGACAGATGGCATTTTCTTTAGGGCCAAATGAAAGATCACTGGGACCTGCAGATTAACCCCTCTTAAAATCAATTGAACATTAAAGCAATGGGAAAATAAATAGGATTTTGCCAACTGGGAAAACGAATATACTGTTGGCGCCAGGCACAGAGGCTCAGTTGAAGATAGAGTCCAGGTGGCAGGATGCAGTTGCATGTATGGGAGTGATGCTTTGTGAGGCTGAGCTGTTGCTGAACCTGCATTATGAACTGCTGTGTGGCGAATCCCTTTGTGGACACACCGTATCCACCTTCTCGTTGCCAATTGGTCCAGTGGTATGATCCCTGAGCAGCCTTATTTGTTCAAAGAGAACCAGATGGACATTTGCACATGGGAGAAAGAAAGAATATCCTGAAAGGCCAGAAGTGCTTTCTGTACCACAGAAACATTTCAATATAGCTTAAAAATCAGTAGTAGGGGATGCTTAATTTTATCAGCCCTCAATCATCAATAACTGAGTATAAGTGGTTGGATGCAGAGTGTGTTGCTG